AAGTAGTTTTTGAATAGCCCTCGTATAGCTGTCTATTTTTCTATCCATTTTCAAGGAATATGAAGACTATTCAAAAACTTCATGAAACAAAACTAAATAGTTTTTGAATAGCCCTCGTATAACTGTGTTTGTATGTTTCTATATGTTCTATAGTGGAGCCCAGTAGTGATATACCAGCACCCCCACCTTTGCCACCTTCCACTCAAGACCAAGGTAGAAATAGTTCTCATTTGCATGTGGAATCAAATAATCATTTGGAATTAAAAATAGTAAAATTTCGCATTTTCTATGTATGTACAGGTACCATTTTTAAGTGTGTTTCAGTTTTCAAGACATATTCTCCTTTGTGACTAATTCCAAATGAATGTTGATTTCCCACAAGCAAATGAAATATATTGAAGACCCTTATATTGTAGTCTTTATATCATCCTCTATGTATGAGAATCTCTTGTACCTTATTTGAATCAGTGTAAGCTGTAAAACAGCATTGCTGCTTCTTTCTGTATACTTCAGTGTGCATCAATAACCATTTAGTATTAAGAGTTATTGCGCATGCACTTTCAAAGATATTATGTATAAAAACCTAACATCTTTCAATTTTAATTTTGATTTCGAATGTTATGTTACGTTTGAATCAATGAGTCAACAATTGAATTAACAATTAATAATCTGTAATTAAGTAATTGGTTTTAATAGATTCAATAAGTGTATTTGTAGCAGATTACAACCAACCATGTACAGTAACACCTATGGTACCTCTAAGATGTGTTCCACTTTTAGAGGTGTTCCACTTTACAGGTTTGACTGTAATATGATTGCCCAAATGTATTGACTCTGAGCTTCTATTTCCTTGTGTTTCAGGTGCTCCCCCAAGGGTGCTTAAGAAGTTAGTAAACCTGCCCCTAGTATATGGTGGCAATGCCTACTTTGAGTGTGTTATGCAGGGTACACCACCAGTTCACATTATCTGGAGTAGGAAGGGACATCCAGTACATGCTAGTCAGCAGTAAGTTTGATTCTCACGATATTATCACATATCTAAGTATCTCATTGGTCAGCTTCAGTCATGTGACTTTCCAGAATGAGGCAATACCAGACATGGCACTTTGATAACGTCACACTCACAGGATAATTTAATCCCAGATATGTCTTAATGTATAAAGCCTGATGGACATGGAAAAAAGATTGATAATAAACTTCTTAATTATGTTTGTCATTTCATTTTGCAGTTATAACATAAACACAGATGAGCGCACAGGAGTCTGTAGCCTCATGGTTACAGGTGTAACAGACAATGATGAAGGTGAGTACACATGTACAGCTGCCAACCCTGCTGGAGAGGTCTCCACAACCGGATTCCTCTGGGGAGAGGATAAATACAACGATTGGTTACGTCGTGAGCAGGAGGCTGCCGCACGTAGCAAAGATAGGCAACGTCAGCGCTCCCTAGTATCAGAACTAGAAACTAGATTAGAATCACCAAAACCTAAAACACAAGAATATTACAAGCCAAGAGCAGAGAGAAACTTGGAAAGAAATGTAGAACAGAGTATGGTTGATGAGTCACCAGCCTTTATACCAGAAGGAGATGTAAGTGCATATGTACTCAGCTATGCTTGTTATTTTCTACTCTAATTTGATAACCATTTGAATATCAGCATCATATTTTCAATATTCATGAACATGATTTTCAGTAGTCACAAATATATTGACATTAACGTTGTTTGGTATAGAAGGTATACCCTTTTATTTTGCAGTGAATTTAACCCATTGTACCATGCTATTCATTACTTTAACAATGTTATTGCAGCATTTCAAGGTGTCCAACTTTGAGACAAGACTTATGCAAGAGATTGAGTTCCGTGAGGGTCGCGTTCAATCTCCTGTCCACTTCGTGGTAGAAGGTATCCCAGAGACTCACAGCGTTCCTGTAGACAAGGCCAGATGCCCAGAAATCACTCAGCCACTCAAGAACTTTAAACTTATGGAGGGCAGTGATGCAACACTTATGTGCAAAATAACTGGTTACCCCAGACCAAAGGTAAACTATTTATTCTTTTCAAATCTAAAATAATCAGAAGAATCTATGGTATAGAATTAAGAAAATTTTAGGTTCCCTCCTAACAAAAACAATATTTCAATGTTCGTGTTATAATTTCAGATTCAGTGGTACAAAGATGGCAAACTATTGAGGCCACTGAACCGCTATGAGATGAAGATGACAGTAGATGGGTACTGCTCTCTACGTATTAGGATGGCACTGCCAGAAGATGCAGGCCATTATACACTCAGTGCCACCAACATTGCTGGCAGAGCTACAGGCACTGGCCAGCTCTATGTTGATAGAATGAGCACAATTGATGAGTCTTCCTTTGTCAGACCTGAGACACTCAGCAGAATGCAAAGAAGGTAAGGACTTGCCCCTTGTTTCATTTAAAGGCCCTATGTAAAGTTTAGAAATATAATTTATTACTTGTACTATTTTCCATGGTTACAAGTAAACAAGTTGTTTTAGAGACTTTCTAAGAAATAATGATCTCCAAAAAGTTTTTCAAATGTTTAGCGCTAGTTATAAATATTAGATGTTAGAAAACACATAGTTTTATTGAAAAGGTTCACATAGATTTCAAAGAAAACACAAATAATATATTGTTAGATGTTGGACAGTGTGTATGTAATATAATTGAAGCTCTAATTTGTGTTTATCATTAGTTCACTGTATAAAATCAATTCCAGGGACTCCCGTAGCAGCGTAAGCTCCGCCATGTCTGAAGAAGGAGGCATCTTCGAGAAGCACTACCGACCAAGATTCCGTAAAATCCCAACAGACCAAGAAGCTACCGAGGGTAATATGGTACGCTTCGACTGTGTGGCCTCTGGCCGCCCAATGCCAGATATCAACTGGTTCCTTAATGGAATCAGAGTAAAGGACGATGACCTGCATAAGGTTGTTGTGAATGAAGATGGTATTCACTCACTGATCCTTAATGCTGTGTCCAGATATGACGCTGGACAGTATACGTGTGTAGCCAAGAATAAGGGTGGAGAGGACACCTTTAAAGTGAACCTGGTTGTTTATGGTAAGTGACATTGTGCTCAAATAGATTTAATAAAGATAAAAACAAAGGAAAAAAGAGAAAAGTAGACGAAATATAGGAAAGTGGATGGAATTTGGGAAACGTTTTACCATTGATGAAATATGGAAGAAAAGCTAGGTTTTTTTAAGAGAAAATGATTTTAATAAAGAATCATTTATATATCATTTATATGATATTGCTTTGTTTGTAGAACGCCAGGCCAGAGCCCCGCCAAGGTTTGTTGACAGAATCCACAGTGTCACAGTGGCCGAGAATCAACCTGTAGCCCTACATGCCCAGGCAGTAGGAGTACCCCCACCTCTCATGAGCTGGCAGAAAGATGGCCGTATGCTCACCCCTGGACAAGAATACAGGTGAGAATATAAACATTAAGGTATATTGTCTCAGAATATTTGAAAAACCTCAACATTTTAGACATTAAAACCTATTCATGTCCACCAAATCCTCTCATCCCAATACATACCCAGAGATATGTCCATTACAAGGGTCTTTTATATCAGTATAAGGTGTAAAAATGTAAGGTATAAGAGACTCAAAATTTTGATTACATTTACCATGAATCAGTTTCTTTTTGTGTTGCCAAAGTGTCTCATACTTTCTTCCAGAATTGACACAGCTGAAGGCAAATCTTCGCTCTACATAGACCAGGCCAGACCAGATGACAATGCCTGGTTCCAGTGCTCTGCTGTCAATGTTGCCGGCACAGCCACTACAAGAGCTAAACTAGTCGTTCAAGTGGAATTTAGAAAAATACCAGAACGTAAATTAGTCATACCAAAGAAAGCCAGAACTCCGTAAGTCTTAGGTTTTATTTGCTTTTCTTCAGTGGTCGGTTTGGTCACAATTGTGTCAAGTGTTTGTGTTTGTTTCAGGAGTTCCATCTTTTAGGTTTTCAGGGCTAGGGGTGTATGATGTCTGATGATATCACAAACAGCTGGTGTGATCTCACGAGTGGTTGGTGTGATGTAATGAATCGTGTTGTTTGAAAGTTTCAACACACTAAAGCATGGTGTGAATACTACATGCTGTTGCATAATACACAAACATAATATTAATACTCAAACATTGTATTTTGAATATTGTTGAATATTAATCACATATTGATAACACCCTCTAAGGAGAAGGATGGAAATCATGGTGACTTTTGAGGAGGGCATTGTGCTTATAGAATCAATTTATTGTGCTATTCCTCTTACATGTGCCATCATCAGGATAATCCCTCATCTAAAGTCTTCGTGTTTCTGCTCTCTCCACATTGGGTGTGTTGTTATCCACAGAGTGAAATAATATATGCCTTTGATGACATTCCAGCTTAAATAATATATATTTCAATTTCAACTGGTATTAACCTACACCAACATACTAATTCAATGTGGTGTTTCACCCTGCTCCAGGAGTGCAAGCGACCCTACCCCACCAGCTATGCAACATTATGATGCCCTCGATTTCCCACCTATGAAGGTGGGGCAGACACACCCTGAATTGAGCGAGAGTATGCAGCAGATAGGCTACACCAGTGACCATGGAGACACTGCTATTTGTAGAGTCATCAGTATAGATGATCTCAACAGGTTGGGATAACCAGAGAATGTCATGTTAAATCAGTAGAATGTCATGTTATATAGGACGTCATATTATATATGATGTCATGTACCCAGTAGAAGTGGGCGCAGGATGAAGGAATGCAGCTTGAACTAAATACCTTTAAATACCTCTCTTATATTTATACCCGATTGTTTTGTTGATCCTACCCTTTCCTCCCTGAATTTTGTTATACAGTTTACTCAGTTTCCTAATTTTATTTCTATTTTGTTGTGTAGAATATTCATCCTTTGGAACTTTCTTCTATCTGTTCTCTTCTATTTTATACCTTCTTTATATCGTCTTCTTATAAAGTATTTGTCTGAGTCGTCTCTATATTTGATTAGTTAGTCCCAAATTTTGTGTTCATCAATATTGTTAATTTTTTCCTCATTTTGTCCTGGTCATATGTTTTCATTTATCTGTCTATTATGTTCACTTGTGAACCTTGCTTTATAGTCTAGTCATTCCCTATAGTCATTGTGTCACCTGTGAATGCATTGTGAAAAGTTCTTTGTGAAATTAATGTAATTTTAATTTTCTTAAAATTAAACTTTATTACTTCAGTTTGAAATTAAGTTTTGGTTCTCTGATATTGTATTGATATTATATTATTATTAGATGTTGTGATCAAATTATGTTGTGCATCATTTTGGTTTCATCTAAGGTTTGTATTATTAACATCGTCCATTATCTTGTGTGTTAATATTTCACCCTACCATTCCACAGTGTGCGTAGCGAACCTGTGATGACACGCAGCAGGTCTATCAGCTGCCTCAGCGAAGTCAAGGAACACATCCCCTTGAGGGATAGGGACACACTTTACAAACAGCCTGAAGCCTATTTAGAGGTGGCTCGATCAACTCCTGACTTTGTCAAGGAAGCCAGAGCAAAGTTTCCTAAACTTGGAGCGACATCATCTAAAGATCTTGACTCAATATTAGCATCACAATCAAGTTTGATGTCACAATCAACTGTGATGTCATTATCACCTCTGATGTCACAATCATTAGAACAGCTCCCTCAGTCAACTCCGAAACCAATAACACCAGTTATGAAACAATCGCCATCTCGGCTACAATTCAAGAGAAGTTTCTCAACTGGTGCTAAGCCTAGGGTCCATTTTAAGATAACCCCTGTCATCAAAAAGAAAGATGATGATGATGATGATGAACCTGATGCAGGTGTTGATGAAGCTAGAGGCAAACCTAAAGACTTTGCTGACCTAGAAGATAGTGCTTATGCAACTGATTCTCAGTATGAGCTGAATGGGTTTGACCAGATCGGCTACTCTAGTGATTCAGGAATATGTGGTATAACCAAAGTGATAAGAAGTCGTCCACGATCAGCAAGGTGTGATATGTATTGTAGTTTTAAGCTCCATGGGAATGATATAGGCTGAACTATCCATGTTTAGTTTAGATAGAAATAGATTTCCAGATGCTATCTAGAGACACAGAACCTCTAGAGAGAGAACCTACCTGAACTGTTACACAAAAATAAAGCCGGAGAACATGTTGCAATTTACAGCCAAGCTTTTAGCTCAATATCCAATCCCATGTGTTACTTCCCCTAAAGGAACCTGTATACAGTCATAGAGCTGGAGAAATATGCATCTGTGTTAGACATAGATCTGGATGAATATTTGCATCAATGTTGCAATTTACAGCCAAGCTTTTAGAGACTGTTAAAGCTCACTGTTATACCCTCAAATATCAACTCTTAATATCTACCATAAAATATTTACCCTCACATATCTACCTTCAATATCTACTCTCAAATATCCAACCTATAAGTTAATATCTTTCCTCAAATATATACCCTCACACATCTACCCGCACATGTTCAGCCTTAAATATGTACCCTCAAGACTGCTACCTCCCTGGTATGGAACCTGTTATGCTGTCAACCTCCATATATGAGTTTTACTCATAGTAATGTTGCTATAGTGACTCCTAGGAAGAAAGTGTTGCTTAAAAATGCATGTTATACCCTGTGCATGAAGATTCAGTTAAACATGAAGCAGTTGTACATTAATTGTATATATTGCCGTTTTCTATATTAATTATTTTATATTAGTACTATATATTAATTGTACTACTTTTAATCATGAAATAATATTTTTATATTCTGGATTACATTCCTCTATTAAAATGCCATCTACTTATAAATATTTTAATCACTGACTGACTTTCTACCTCTGATGATGATTTTAATAAACTTTATTCTGGGTGGATTCATAATTAACGATGCTTAATTCATGTTGTAAATAACAACAACTCTCTCTTTTTGGTGGCACGGCATGATTGGTAATTTCGCTTACCATCATTTAACAAGTTTTAAAGCTTTATTGGTTGGCCTTCTTCCAGCAGTGACCAGGATGTGGGGAGGACATTCCCTAATGGGCCTGAGATTCCTGTGCAGCAGATAGAATATAGCAATGATTCTGGAGACCATACTTTTATGAGGATATCATCAACAGATGACCCAAGGTTTGCAGAGTGAACTTCTCTCTCTGCATGTGTAGATACTGTACATTATGTGTATGCCTTAGACACTATATATGCCTTAGACTCTCTTTATGTTCTAGATATTGTATATGATGTATATTCTATGGCATGATGTAGACATGTTTTCAATGTTTTTGTTGGTTATTATTGGAATATGAATTGTATAGTAGTTTATAGTTTGTAAATAGTAAAGCAAGGACTTCTTTTCTCAAATACTTTCCTTCAATTCTTTGTACCAATTCTACGAATCCTTTCTCACAACAAGCTCCCTTTCATATGTTTCTCATGTAAAGTTGAATCTGAGATTGTTCTTGTTTTGAATATTTTGATTTGGTTTTGCAAGTATCATCACTGCTTGTATATATGTGTCTTGAAGTGCTATTGCTTGTTTAAATGTGTCTTCCTAGTGGCACTGCTTGTTAAATTGAGTCGTCTTCTCGTGTTATTTCTTGTATAAATGTTATGTGTCACTGTTTATGTGGCAGAGTTTACATGTTGTGTGAATGTGATGTTACAGCACAAGTTATGGATCTATGTCTCCACTACAGTCATTTAATATACCTCCACCACCATCTACACAAGCTCCACCGCGTACACAGGCTCAACCGCCTGCACAGTTCAATGTGGACCCTTACAGGTTGGCTTCTTGCACATTGCCATATTTCATGCATGGATGTCTTTTATACTGTTTTACTGTAAAATAGATTATACTTACAAGTTTACAGGTTTTAAATGAAGTAGTCAAATATCTAGTTAAATGACTTTATAAATATCTTTCTATATTTCATACTTTTTATATTTTTCCTTATGTGTATATTACTATAGTTTCCCAGTGTGCAATCCCAATCGTTAACAATAACCTTCAAATTTATAGTCTAACACATTTTGTTGGACCTAATTAACCAATCAAATTATGGTACCCCTCATGGTACCCCTCATTAATCCCTGAGACGTTACATGTCACAATGTCACATGTTAAATTTTATATATAAAAAAGGTACAATTTTATTGACACTGAGTGCTATTGTAGAGGTGTGCCTGATGATGTTGACTACACATTCCCCACACCTATAGAGGATGTGTTCCCACCAGAACCACCTATAGAAGAACAAGCTCCTCCTATACCCATTGCTACCTCCACACCAACTGTTGCCCCTCGTGTCAAAACCAAAATTCCAAGCGTCACTGAGAAATATGATCCTAGTGTAAAAGCTCCACATGTGGCGACTGCAGAGTTTGATGGTGAACCTGTTAAGGGTCAATTACCAGTTCCTCCTGAGTATAAGGAGAGCCGGTTGTTGAAGTTGATCCGTGATGAGGAACAAGAGCAACAGCCAAGGTGCCTAGCTAGCATGCCTGTTGTGTTTTTACAGCATCAGCTCAAGCAGCTCTTGGGCCGACTCTTGTACAAACATCTCAGCTCTCATTATGCAATAATTAACATTATCACTTTTTGCATCTGATCATTTTCATGCCAGTATATGTGGTACTGGATTAATGCTTTAACCTGTCACTTGAGGTGTGACTTAATTTAGAGGAAATGCTTCAAATGTCAGCCATGCAGCTAACATGAGACGTAAGCTACGATGGCTCATGAGCACGAGCCACGATGTCTCTAATGCATTAAGCCACTGTTCAATCACGCTTCAATGTTTTACAAGCGTTATTTATTAACTTTGAAATGCTATAATAATATCACATGCAGTTTCGATATAATGGAAAAATTGAAAAATATGCTACTATGGTACTCTATGCTATGCATGGGTTGATATCGGCTTACCATTATTGTTAGGGATACATTGAAACTCATTCATTTCTTCCCACCCTTTGTTGCCGTCTTTACGATAAAAATAATACACCAATCATATTCGTAATAAAATCACTTGCAGTTTGCTTCATTCCTTCAAGTATTATTCATCTCTGACAAAATTCACCACATTTTAATAACATTTGCACTGGAATATCAATATTAAAAAGCACAAGAAACAACATTTGAAAATAACAAAGCTACCAAAAGCACCATGGATACCTCAATCAACAAATTTAAAGACCTATATTTTTAAAAATTCTATAATTGATTTGAAACCTGACACATATATGCTCTTTTGGAAGTTATTCTAGATTTTTCATTCAAAAGACTCAGTTATTATAACATTACAATACAGTAGAACCTCATCTTTGTTAACTTGGACCCAAATCATATCTCTACTATTATAATAAGGCATGTTCTTGTCATTATCTTTCTGTCTTATTATCCCTTCTTAGATTGTCTGTAACTACTAATCTAGTAGTTACACCTCCTATACCACAGTTTACTTCCTAGGTTTCACTGTATCTAGGGGCTGTTTCTCAAAAATATTGTAAGTTATGTTCCCTAAAATTCCACTGTCTTTTACAAAATTGACATACATGGCTACACAGTAAACGCAATTGAAAATCAGGAATTATGATCTACAATATGTTTGTGAAATGGCCCTTGTATTTAGTTGCTTTAGTTCACTATAGATGACACTCAGTGTCATTGTATGTTGTAGAGCACCTGTAGAGGACACTGACATGGCTATAGACTTAGATGAACTAGCTGCTAGTCAGCCTGACTTAGTAGAGGAGAGCCTTGAAGAACCTAGAGTTTCTGTCAAACAAAGGTTCCTTTCTCTAGCCTTTGCTTCACTTCTCATGGGATATATTCCATATTAACTAGTCTAGCATCAATTCTCTTGACCCCTTTATCCACTGCACCTCCAATTTAGGAGAGGTGTGTTGGGGAGGTCACAAGGGATTGAAGCAAGAAAACTTATTATGAAACATATATGGAATGTGTTCATTGGGATATGTTTGTTTTGAATTAGATAGCAAATAGTATATTTTGTCATATATATTTATTTGTTAACTGTTTCGAATTCATAGATATTAGATTCCACTTGAGTTATTCCCTTCTTTCTTTTCAATTCTTTCTTTTTCTTTTTTTCTTTTTCTTTTCTTTCTCTTAATTGTTTGTTTTTCCTAGAAAGATGTTATTAGATTTTCTCTTGAAGTAATGATATGTGGAAACCTCAAAGGGTTCAATAGTTAAGTCCTATGTTATATTTCAGACGTGAGCAGTTCACTGTAAAACCAGAGCCAATGAAACCATTCTTAGATCCAAGACTACAGAGGTTAATATTTATTCTCTCAGCATGTGCCTTTTGTGTTTCAATCTCTTAAGCATACTTATTTTATGGATATACACATCCATCCATGTTACTAGATATTCTTTTCTCATTCATTTCAACATCCTGAGACATCTTAGAAATATTGTAGCCTGTGTTGTGAAATTCAGTGGTCTTGACATGATAAAGCCAGCTGATATCAGGAGAAACTGAATTTCACTTATTGTAATCCACAATATTTTGAGAGATTGACTCTTGTGAAAAATTAACTATTCATTTTGATAGCTATGTTGATAAAATAAAACCTGTACATTTGTACATGTAGAGTTTTGATGAATCTTGTTGATTTTCTTTAGGAAAAAGTCGCCTCCTAAACCTGCAGTGATGAAAGATTTCACACAGCCATGGAGGCCACCTGCACCCAAGGTTGCACCTAAACCAAAGGTGGCACCTGGTGTTGCACCCAAACCAAAAACACCAACCAAATTGGTCTCCCAAGCCCAGGCCCCTGACTTGTATAGAACCCCTAAGGATGAAATTCATGGGCCAAAACCATTCATACCTGGTGCAGAACCTATGCATGTTGACCATGAACCACTACAGGCTAAGCCTACTGAGGGAGTTCCTGAAGGTTTCGTCCCTCTGAAGGAAAAGTTGGAGCTCTTCAAACCACATCCAGAACAAGCTCCACCTATACAACATGCACCAGGACACTGGGAGAAACCGAAACCATTGTTTGTAAAACCAGAACCTGAGAAACCAGCACCAAAATACGAAGTTGAGGTCCCAGTAGGTGAAATTCATAAACTGCCAACTCACGCTTGGTCCAGAAGTCTACCAGATTATACTCCAAGAGCTGGTGAATTGGTGGAGGATAAGCCTGAAGATGATGAACCAGTGATTGAAATACTACCTCAACAAAAACCACCTAGAGATGAGGTAGACATGGACCTGGGTCCAATCCCACAAGAGGTTATCCCCCAGGAGCCTTACACACCACAGGAGGTCCCACAGGAGCCGTACACACCAGAGAGAAGTCAAATGGATATTGACTTAATGTCACCCAAGCAGGAATACCCAGAGCACGAGTTTATCGTGTCTCTACCCCCAGGAGAGCTACCAGCAGGGTACCATAAAGTAACACCCCCCAAACCTGGGTCCAAGAGACCATCTGATGGAGCAGCAGTTCAGCCACCATGGAGAGGGGCTCAACCTCCCAAAAAGTCGTTCGTACCAGCTGCTCCTCCTGCTCAAGTCCCTGCTCCACCAGCAGCACCTCCTGCTCAAGTCTCGGCTCCACCAGCAGCACCTCCTGCTCCAGCACCCAAGTTCACCACAAAGGCAAAGATTGCCCCTACCACAGCTCCCAAGCCAACACCTATGCCATCATACCAGACTGCTGCGGGGGTACCCCAAAAGCCACTGGAGGATCCAGGTCTGTCATTTGAGACCAGAGCTGTGATGAAACTCATCCGTGAACAGGAGACTGATAAGTAAGCTTACTATGACATCAGCATGGATTTACATTCTGTTGCTCTGCCTTGAGGATTTGTCTTGATATATGCATGCATTTTAGTATGCCACTTGGATTGATATTGGCATGGATTTTGTTATGCCACAAAGATTTGTTTTCGTATTGGCATACGTAAAATATGCCACAAGGATTTTTCTTGATAACTGTATGTATTTTATTATGCCACTAGGATTTGGTTTGACAGTGGCATACAATTTATTATGCCACAAGGATTTGTCATGTTATGAGCATGCAGATTTACTTTGCTTACTTTATTTTTTAGAATTGATGTTTGTCATTTTTCTTGCATTGTTTTATATTTTGTTGTTGTTTAAATTGTAATGAAACTGATGTTTGGGTTTTTTGCAGCATGTATACTTGTACTTACATTATTTTGATTTTTTCTTATTTGTAGGATTTCTTATTATAACAATTTGAGATGTTATGTAATGTTGATATTTTATTCTTAATTTCCATGCATGTTTTAACCTTATACTCTTTTAAGAATGACTTAGGGATAGAATCAGACTATTATGTTCTAGATTCTTCTATTTTTGGGAGATATACAACATTAGTTGGTAATCTGTGTCTCAACTCCTGTCAGTACTTTACCTACAAATATTGCATCTTGTCGCATAAACTCTTTTTGAGTGGTAGACTGAGTGAATGTTACATAGATATTTATTGAATGATTGTCTGAATATTACAGGGAAGAACCAATGCAGTGGGATGAAGCTGGAGAACCAGTTAAACCATTGAGGTTTGAAACAATTCAACCATGCATGTAATTCAGAGTTGTATGCCATTATGCACTGTACACTGCATTGCACGCTTTTACACAGAGGAGTAGCAATTGGGTCATTTCCACACACAAAGCTAATTACTGTAATTTGACCAAAATTTGAAACAATGTAAAATAGCATTTAGACAAAAAATCTGTTGTAAGTTTAAATTAATTCTTATCTTCATTTAGGCAAAAAAACACCTGAATACAGTAAAAAGAAATGACGTAATATAAAGAAACAGTGTGGAAATGGTCACAGTGGCAGTTATAAACATATCATAACCATGTGTTATCAGACAATTCAAATACTGCATTTTTGCAGTTTACTGGTTAATAACTCAGCTTATGTGGTTTTAATGCTATACTCATAAAAGTATTTGTAGTATTGCTATGGGAACAGTCCAATGATTATCTTCATATAATGCTATTTTTTATATTTGTTGACTACATTTATGACTTTCCTAAATGTGGCTGTTTAAAATATTGGTGCTTTGTACTATTTATTGGCAGCTGAAATCAGCAATTGTGCTTGTAATTCATAACATTTTCAAAAATGTAATGTCATCATTGATTATTAGTTGTGCTTTTAGTTTATTCACCATAGACATGAACATGTTCCTATATCTTTGAATAGGGATATGGAAATTTTACATGAAATTATGAAGGAGGATTTTACCCAAACAGTTTTTTTGAAAAGTGATTAAAACTAAAAAGTAATAGAAAAACCTCTGATGGATTTTCATGTCTTTTTCACAGATATTTTTAGGAACTGTTCACCTCTGATTCACAGTTGCTTATGGTTACATGGTTGCATATAGTTGTGGTCATGAGGTTGTAATTACATCTATGCAATTCATCCAAATATTACAGGCAGGGGGGGGGGGGCTAATAATATATAATTATGATTCAATAGAATATGAACATATTCTGAGTAATGTCAAAAGATTATAGTCAAAACATTATTTCACTGAAACTTAAACTGGGTTCAAATGAATTTTCGTGACTGAATATTTGGACTTCTAAAGTACACCATCAAATTTATTATGTGGTATTTTATATGGTATGTAAATGTAATGATATGACTGGTTTATTACAGGAGTCTTCCAAGGGCAGAACAAGTTCCAATCACACCTCAGACTGTCCCAATGCACGAGCCTCTGAGCTTCCAAGATTACGATGAGGATGACCTGTTTGATAAAGCCAGAGAGAGACCACCAAAGTTCAAGACACAAATCAAGAACCAGATTAAACTTAATGAAGGAAATTCAGCCCACTTTGAATGCAAGCTACTCCCTATGGGTGACCCTGATATGGTCGTTGAGTGGCTTAAGGACGGAGAACCTCTCCGTACTGGACATCGATTCAAGACAACTAAAGACTTTGGCTTTGTGGCCCTAGACATAATGTATACCTATCCTGAGGATAATGGTGAATACACTGCCGTGGCTAAAAACTCATACGGTGAAGCCAAGACAAAAGCAGAGTTATACTGCAAAGCTAAGAGATCAATTGACTTTGATACTCAACTACCCGAAGGCATGGATGGTGCCTCTAAACTACAAGAGATGGAGGCATCCTGGTCTAAGGGCCCTGCCCCTAGACCAGAATCTCCTGAGGCTCAGACCAAGGCACCACCAAACTTTGAATTAAGGCTTCAGCCATGTGAAGTTGATGAAGGAGAGCCTGCCAAATTCATGGTGAAAGTCAGTGGCTTCCCACGCCCCCGTGTTACATGGTGGGTCAATGGAGCCATCATTTTTAATGTAAGTATCTCTATCTACAAAGTGCATTTTGTACAGTCATGTGATATTTATCTGCCATATTTATTTTAACCTTATTGCAAAAGTCAAGATCACCGTATTCATCTTAAATATGCATATCTCTGTAACTGATGTTCACTTAAGAGTTTTCAGATTCAGAGTTCGAAACTGTAAATTAAAAGATATCATCAAAGAATCTTTTAACTTGCTCAGTAGAAACAAAGATCTAATCTTTGAATTAGTAGACCTTTCCAAATGAGTCCCTGTTGATAATCCTTATATTTATCATGTATTGTTTTTTCCCTGTAACAGAGCACAAGATTCAAGCTGTCCTATGATGGTATGATGTATTACCTAAACATCCCCAAGGTTCGTGAGTATGATGTGGGGCAGATCCGTGTGACAGCCAAGAACTCTGAGGGTGAGGACCAAGACAGTACTACCCTACAAGTCAACCCCAGGGATGACTGGAGGGCCCGCTTAAAGAGAGTACAAAAACGTAAGATTTGACATTCTGTATCATGAATTTGGCTTGATAAAGTCCCTTTGCATGGCTTGGTAAATAATGGTAAACAAGATAACAAATGAATTATAACAGCCAATCTTGTTTTTATTATCAAGAGTGAGGAAATAAACAAAACTCAGAAATCCAAGATAATGGTTTGTTCCCAACAACATGAATTTGTTGGTGAAAGTTATTGAAGAATGCATGGGTCCTAGCAATTGATTAATGGTATATTATGTTTGAAATTTTGCATGGATTTCAGAGGAAAAGGAAGACGAACAAAGCAGGCTTGAAATAAGAGCAATGTTTGGTAAAACATAGCACCTCATCCCAACTTAACTGTATTATATGCTCAAAAATGTTTGTTTCTTAACAAGTTGACATTCCTTGATCTAACATTTAATTTTGCCCACTGGTCCATTTTCTCCCCATTTTCTCCCCCAAACTTTCTTATGTCATCTTGAGTCTCAGTCGGTCCATAACAAGATAATATGTGATCTGTTAAATTCATTTGACATTTCAATTTTAGATTTGTTATTGTAAACTTTATTGTTGTCATGATGTCAATGCAGCACACAATATTTTTTCAATTGATTATTGTTGACCTAATGTAACTTCAAAAACATGATGTTTATTAATATATTTTTGACTTTTAGAAATCCTAACACCATTCCCATTCCTTGTTCTCTTAATTTTTGTTTCAAAATAGATTTTATTCGGTCAAGAGTATGTTCAGATGTAGTAAGATGGAGTTAATTTTCTCTTCAAAATCACTGGAATAATGCTGATATTTACAACATTAATTCGAAAGATAACCTTGAAATATTTATATTGTACCCATATATAGTTTACCAGATGATATCACTATATTCCAAACATGTATATATAACCTTTGAATTCACCCGATATATGTAAAAACAGTTCCTAAGTTTTTTCTATTTTATGGTTTATCTCTGTACTGTCCCATGATCACACAATATTGAAATAGGAAATATATGTAAATAAAAGTGAAGTATAAAGTTCTCTCTATTCTTCTTGCAGCCTCTTATGATCCAGATCTTGCAAAAATACAACGCGCCGATCTCCGCTCCTGGGAATTGGACCAAGCTCTTAAAAAATCAAAGGTCACTGTGACATCACTCCGTGAAATGGAACGTGCTGAGGTCACTAAGATCAAATCTCATGTTGATAAAGATGTCAAAACTGGCGAGAGAAATATCATTCTCCGCAATGCCGAGTTGCAGCATATTGGGGCCACCAAAGAGCTGCAGGAACATGATCACAACATTAACACCGACTCTGATGTCCATGTACAACGTGCCAAGAAGAAGCTTGGTATGGAGGTTGAGATTCCAGTAGTTGAGCTATCCTCTAAGAAGGTGCGCCTTGAGCGTAAGGAACCACCCAACTTTGTACAACAGTTGAAGCCTGTGAAAGTCACTGAAGGTGAACCAGTCAGGTGAGGGAAATTTTGGAAATAGATTTGAGAGGAGGGGTTTTATCATGGTCTGCCATCAGGGTAGTTGTACCAAAAACTAAACACCCGGGATTGTCCCTGGATTTCTTTTGAACATATTCAATTTGTAATGCCATTATTTTCCACAAATAGCTAGGGGGTGTATGGTCTTCAACTCAAAGATTAACAAATATGTAAAAAAAAGTGTAATAGCATTAAAACCAAAGCTCAATATTTCTTTTCTATATGCAGGTTTGTGTGTGAGTTCAGTGGTACCCCACCACCCCAGATCTCATGGTACAAGGATGGCTTTGAGATCCAACCATCAAGAGACTTCCAGATCACCACCGATGCCTACAAGAGTGAGCTATATATGCCAGAAGCCTTCCCTGAAGACACTGGTATGATCACTGTCAAGGCATACAATCAGTATGGCATGACCATCACCAAGGCTAGGCTCACAGTCATTGGTAAGTCTAATGTAATAACAAAACTTATTTTAAAGTCTGATTTTTGGTAAACAGCAACTCTGTATGGATTTGGTAATTTAATTTCTTCAATGAAATCAATTTTCGATTTTTTCTAACATTAATTTGTTTATATGCTTTATTTATCAGAAGAAAAAATCACTGAGAAGGAATGTGCTCCTGAGTTCCGCACATTGATGCGTGACCAGAGAATCATGGTTGGCGAACCAGCCACGATTGATGTCCACGTAGTCTCAAACCCAAAACCAGAAGTAATCTGGCAGAAGGAAGGGAAACCTCTGAGGGAGGGACCACGTTGGAAGTTCATCCAAGAGGATGACCACTACACATTGTTGATCTTTGAGGTGAAAGAGACTGATGCTGGTGTATATGAGTGCATCATGGTTAACAAACTTGGTAAAGCTACATGCACTGCAAGACTGGACATTGACAAACCAAAGGTGATTGAGTTGGTCCCAGAGAGACCTAAGTCTCCTGAAGTGATTGGTCCTGTCTTGAAGGAAGCTATGAAACCATTGACTGTTGATGAGGGTACACCTGCTGTATTCAGAACTGTCATCACATCAACCCCAGGTGAGATTGATATTTCCATAAAGTTTTTATTATTAGTTTGTCTTATGTTTCGGGAGTTTGCTCTATCTTAACCTTATGACACCCCTGACCCCCTCTGACTTTTAACGATAAATCTTCATAGATATTTTTGAGACATTTCAATTAAGCCAAAGCCAAATAATTTTATTTTTAGGGTTCAATTCACTTGATTTTTTTTTGTGAAAGGTTTCAGTATTTTATCATCCAGATCATCATGCATACTTGACTTATGTTTACAGAACCTGTAGTAAGCTGGTTCTATGACAACCAACCAGTGAAGCCATCCAAGTACTTCAAGATGGAGTCTAAGAATGGTGTCCATACACTGACTATCACAGAGGCTTTCCCAGAGGATGAGGGTATCTACAAGTGCACAGCTGTAAACCCTGCTGGAGAGGTCTCAACTACAGTGGTACTCCATGTTAATGGTGAGTTAGACTTGAATATGGTCCATGCACCTAGCATACATTAATTACTGCCCATTAGTGTATGAACTCAAAATTCGATCTCCCAACTTCATCATCAATTTTCTCAGTAAATTTCCTTTAAATTACATGTAGCTGGTCTATTTATTCATGCATACACATCTACCATTAACAGAGCATTTTATATAATCTCCATCATACCAAATGGATCCATTGTTTGATAAAGGACATTGATATTGTATGGTGATTGCTTCATTACAGCATTGGAGAGTGAACCAGAGATCCCCCAAGTTGTACCTCCTAACTTCACAGAGACCCTACAGGCAATGGCTGTACAAGAGGGCAACCCTGCAAGGTTCGTTGTAACCATAGTGGGCACGCCAGAGCCAGAAGTGACCTGGATGCGTGAGGGACAAGTCATCATTCAGTCACAGGACTTCCAGGTACATTAAAAGCCTATATACACGAATATTAAAAATATTATTGCTGTGTAGGCAGCAATATTATTGTCTCTGGTTCTGTCTGTTGCGAAGAACTTTAAAAGTGTACAATGTACTTGTATTGTCTTTACTCAGAAAGGATGAAAATAATTTGTTGTCTATAACTATGTATTTATTAATGGTAACCCATGTATTTCAGATGACAAAGGAAGGCAACAAATACATCCTAAACATCCGTGAATCATTCCCTGAGGATTCTGGTATATTCACATGCCGCGTCACCAATCCAGGAGGCATGGCCGAGTGCTCAGCTGAGCTCTTTGTTGAAGGTATTTCAAAGAAGCAACCCTAACTCACTTGGCTTGTGCACGAGACCTAACACTAGTTAGACTTTCTAGCTGACTCTTTGAATGGAGTCAGCCTTCTGTTAACTACTAAAGGACTTTCATTGATGGGACTTTCATTCCATGGGACTTTTATTCCATGGGACTTATATGGACTTGTATGGAATGGGATTTGAAGTACATCTGTTGTACACTTAAGCTGTGGGAATTATCCTTGTTATAGTGCTTCCTACCCTTGCACCCCCTATATCCTGCTATTGGCTCATTGCATGTGTGAATATTGCACAGGTATAGGGGTGAAAGGGTTTATATCAATGCAAATATTATGTAAACCTTCATGCTGTCTATTTTCTCTAACAATATTCAAGTTCTGTATCTAATATAGTGTTAGAATTTCCTCTCATTTCACCCCTATATTTTGGCATGTTTGGGTGACAGACTTTATAGACTCATACCTCTCAACCCTAATATATCAGCAATGGTAGTCAATTCCATAATGCACTTGGATCTCATGATGCATTGTGGGATTGAATACTTGCTGTGTTTTCAGACGTGATATCTAACCTGGGTGATGGGAGAACAGAGCTGTGTGAGAGAGGTTGATAACCATCAAGCACAGCTCTGTTCGGGGATTTCAAACACTACCTTTGGCAGGACAAACTTTTAGTGCATGAATGATCACATGGCCAGATTTTGCCAATCATATCAGCTAGATAAGGTCATGTGACCATCCAGTTGAACAAAAGAGCCTGTTCTGGCAAAGGTTGTGTAGAATCTCAAAATGAAAGATGAAAATGCTTTGATCATTCGATGAAGGTGTTTTCAATCTAATACTTAAGCTCATCAGGAAATATGTTTCATCATACACCAATAATACATAGAGACCATTATATATACATTGCCATGCATGCATTTAAGAAGCATTGAGTATGAATGATTTGTGTGAGTGTTTGAGTGATAATGTGATTGCCATAGAACTATAGTGATAGCTTTTATAGCCTGTTTTATTAATATATATTTTATATAGCTTTCATATTTACCAAAGACATATAATGCCCTATTATTGTTATTATATATTTGAGATTTAGATTGATTGAAAATGACAGCATTTTGGTATAGAGTATTTTGTACTTCATACTGTAATTCAAAATTATATTTTTATGAATTTTTAAATATCTGCTTATTTGCATGAACAAATATACAACTATTATTATTAAACTTCTAAAACTTGTTTTTGTACCTTGACCAACATTTGTTAAACTGTCAACTCAAAGCAAATTAAATACAGTAAATTCCGACAAATTCCTCTTTAAAACCACCAAAGGTGTTCAACTTTCATAGGTTTACTGTATATAATGCAACATTGCTCTGATTTGATGGTTTACGATACTAACATGTATGGATTGTTTATACTGATAGCATGTTTTCTATGCAGTGGTCATTACACACACTCCAGGTCAAACAAACTTCTTTGGAAAAAGGTCGAGTGAAATTACCCTTAAACATTTATACATATTTATAGGAAAAAAATGTTGTGACTCCAAGCTGCCCCTTCTCAGTTTTAAGATTTTCAGATCTTTAAAGAATATTTTAACATTCAGAAAACATGAGAAAATTTAATTTGAAATACATGTATAATGGGAAGAGCACAATCCACTCCTTTTTGAATCAAGTATGAAATATATGAAATGCCCAGTGATGCTACCAGTTCATGGTTTTTCCACTTAAAGCTCTAGTATAGTACAAAATCAAGCCATTGTCCACCCATTTAAAGTGCCAGTATAGCACACAATCAGGAGGTATAATCCACCCACTAAAAGTGTCAGTGTAGCATGTTGTGTGTAATGTGTATTGCCTGGAAACATTGAACAATGAGTGTCTCACCATGAAGCATGTATCCCCTGCCTGTCTGCCACCTGTTTGCTGCCTGTCTGAGATTGGCAGCATGTCCCTAGAGTGTCAACAGCATGGCTGGTAAGTTAACATTCCACTAAGTACAATTATTCAAGTTAAACATACATAAAGGAAGGGTGTGTGGAATTAAGTTAATTGAAATCTTAATCCTTTTTATAGAATAGGTCTTGAAATCATTATACTTTGCACACCTGTCGTGAAGTTATAGCGAAATGAAAGACTGTCTACACAATGCAAACAAGGTCTATGTCTGTTTCATGTGAACAAATTTGAAACAGATCAGAACAATTGCAAGTTCATTTTCATGTACCAAATGGAAACAAACTGTCAAACGTATCCTGAAAATGACTATTACCTAGTTGACCATCCCTTTGAAATTGCATAATTCAGACCTATGTTTGAATCAATATTATACTATGTACTAAAATAACAAGTATATTTCAGAGGCCAAACTTGAACAACCACCAGAGTTTATCAAGGCTCTTTCCCCAGATAAGCAAGTCATTGAAGGTGAAACAGCTATGTAAGTATAAACATAGGATAACTTTAACATACATGTCTTAAAAATACAAATACATTTAGCTAGTCAACTGACGTAAAACGATGCTCAGTTTGAACCAAATAAGAAACTAATTTAATTCAAATATAAACCAATCAGAAAATATTGAATTACAGATAGTTATCATGCTTTACTTTAAGAGTTTTCATCAGATATGTAACATATATGTTTTAAAAATATTTAGGGTAATTTACACAGTTAACTTTTAATTCTTATAGCTTGGAAGCTCAAGTGGATGCCTACCCACCCCCACGTTTCACATGGATGTTGAATGGCATGGATATAGTCCCCAATGACAAGTTTGAGATCCAAGTGTCTGGTTCACAGACATTCCTCATCATACAGCGTGTCACATCTACTGACAGTGGAGAGTATGTACTGAAGGCTGAGAATGAACTGGGAGAGACTACATGTAGGACAACACTTATTGTTGCCCGTAAGTGTTATATTTCTATTATTTCTTGAATATAGCTCATACCCTGAAATCTTTCAAGCATCACATAAAGCCACATGGAAAATCAGTCAAACGGATATACAGATATGCCCCAGACCAATTTTATGTCAAACAGATATGAAAGATTGATAATTGTTCTTTGTTTAATCTGCAGCCTCCCAGAAGCTAGTTGAGCTACCCCCACCTCATGAGGTAACCAGTACAACTGTTACAGAACACATCAAGGTGGTTGAGCGTGACATCAAACATGTCAACATACATGAGTTCTTCATACAGCCATTACAGCCTGAAGTACATGTACCTGAGAAGATGACTGCTAGGTGTGTAGAATCACTTACTGAATGATTGATGATTTGAAGTGTGAAGTACTTGTATAATGAAACCATTTGTTAAAATGGGATCCAGCAAAAATTGTTAGAAGTTCATTTTTGGGCTGAAAAGATGTTGGGAGATTTTATTGTGTTACATATACTTGGAGCTTACATTGATTTGAATAGACATATCATATGTGGACTATTAACCTAGTTTGATTTACATTCAGAAATTCTCGTATTAAAATATACATATGTATAATTTTTTTCCCCTACAGACTTGAGTGTCTAGTCCATGCCTTACCTCCACCCAAGATCACATGGTATGTGAATGGGTTTGAGATCCAACCTTCTCCTCACTATGAGATCACACTAGAGGATGAGAAGAGTGTCCTCACTATACATGATGTAAGCCCAGAGGATTCAGGCCAGTATCAATGTAAGGTGGAGTCCCAGAAGGGAGAAGCAATTAGCAACTGTGTCATGTATGTAGATGGTGAGTATATTAAACAAATGATTTATTTTTATTTTTTTGGCACAACCTATTGATAGTATAAGAATATTGATATTGATATTAAGTTGTATGATTTATACATATAGTGCTAGTAATGTTAAAATATTGTATTTTTATGCATGTCAGATCATGTTGACCAATAAATCATTTTTTGTTACTTTTACGTATATACATGAAATGATCAATTGATATTTGCATGGTAAATAAAATAAATCATTGATGATGGAAGAATACAAATGAAATGTTCAGTAATTCAATTTCATATTGTCTTTGACATGTTACATTTTAATCATATTCACTGCTTCAGAACCTGTTAAGCCAGTTGAAGAACCACCTACCTTCCTGAAGCCACTGGAACCCATTGAGGTTAAGGATGGTGAAGATGTCGTTCTGGAGGCCATTGTCATGGGCAACCCTCAGCCAGAGGTCACATGGTTCAAGGACAACATCTGTATTGACAAAAGTCCAGATCATGTTATTGTGTATGATAAATACACAGGAATAACAAGACTGACTATTCCACAGTCTATTCCAGAGGATTCAGGTATTTACAAATGTGTAGCCACCAATCCTGTTGGAAAGGCTGTTTGTGAGGCTTCACTAACTGTAAAGGAGCCCCCTAAAGAACCAGTGACAATGGTGGAAACCAAAACTGTTTCACTAACTCAAAAGAAACCAGAACCAATCAAGGAAGCAATCCCCGAGCCAGTTAAAGAGCCAGTGAAAGAGGCTCCACCTGCGAGAAAACCAGAGCCTGTGAAAGAGCCTAGCCCTGAATCAATTGAAGTTGAAGATGAGGCTAAACGCATCTTGGAGGTATTATCCAAAGCTGTTGACCAGCCACCTAAATTTACTGAACCCATTCAACCGCAAGTTGTAGTTGATGGAGATGAAGTGATTATGAAGTGTGTGGTCACAGGCTCTCCAATGCCTGAAGTTACATGGTACAAAGATGACCAACTGATAGAGGACTCCCCTCCTGATTTTGAGATTACATACAATAAAACAACTGGAGAGAGTGTGTGTAGGATCTGTGATGTGATGCCTGATGATGAAGGTGTATATTCAGTCAAAGCTACTAACCCAGTAGGAGTTGCCAAAGTAACAGCTAACCTGGTTGTAAGATGTAAGTATTGATACCATATACATAGTATGGCATACAATGATAGGAAATTAGAGAAACATAAAACGTAAAATCATAGAGAAACCATGCATTTTAATAGGTAGTGTGATGTGTTATACAAATTGAGGGAAATAGAAAAGTACTTGAAGCTATAAATCAATCCTTAAATCCATCAAATTTAGTTGGAACATATTATTCCTACTATCTTACTATCTATCTACTATCTATCTACTACAGCACTTCTGTGTTTAAGCTCATATAGTTTAGTTTAACTAGCTGAAGAAATATTGTGTATTCTGCTTGTGTTGCTATTCCAGTACCAGAGGAAGCACAGGTTACAATTGATTCTAAGATGAAAGAGGAACCACCACAGTTTACTGAACCACTTCTTCCTAGGAGTGAAGTGAATGAAGGAGAACCCATCAAGTAAGTTCAGTCTTAAACACTTTAACATGCATTCCCATAAATTATTTTTCACGAAAATGATTCCAAATGTAAAAAGTACCAGAACAATTAATGGATGAAGATTAATTGCCAAAATATATTTGATGTCCAAGTGATGTTCTAAAAAATGTTATGACTGTCTTTGGCCTTGTTGTTAGTCTGTGTTAGTTCATGGAGCATGGTACACTAATATGACAGCACATTAATTATTGATTTGACATAACTTTAATTTTTTCAGATTCACATGTACCTCAATTGGTAATCCAGAACCTGAGACCAAATGGTATGTGAATGATGTTGAAATTCTCCCATCCAAGGACATAGAGGTGACATACATCAAAAATGTGTCTGTGTTGATCATACATAGAGCCACTTGTGAGGATGCTGGGGAATACACATGTAAAGCTGTCAATACAGCTGGTACTGCAGTTACTAAGACAACACTGAATGTTCAAGGTAAGGCATGTAATCTTAAAATGTCTGTTAACTGAATTCTTTCTATGGTGTGTTTTGTAAGCTAGTCTTCTTTCACTCTGATGTGATACTGTCACTTAGTCAGATAGCTCAATGTATATTTATTTAAATTCCTTTTGTATGAAGGACTTGCTTTTAGAAATACCAATTATAGTTATATCCTAATTTCACAAGCCTTAGGGGTAAATGAGGATTGATGGAACATATTTAATTATGTCAAGCAAAACAGGATTTGAAATGGCAAAATACGAAATGGCAACATGCTTATAAAACTCTTAATGTAAAAGCCCTTATAGTTTCCTTCCATTAGTTGACCACCTATCTGTGTGTTTCTTCTAGCCACATCCACTGCTAGAATAGAACTTGAACGTGAAAAACAACCCTTGGAAACTGTAGTCAAAGCTGTTAAAGCCCCAGAACCAACCCAGGTTGCACCTGATGAACCACCTCGTTTCACCTCCAAACTTAAACCTATCATCGCTAAGGATGGGGATCGTGTCACCTTCCAAGTCAACTTTGTTGGTAAACCATCCCCGGAAATCAATTGGTACTATAATCGCCAAAAGATCACAACTAGCTCTGACTTTGAAGTCAGCATTGATGTTGAACAGGGCAGTAGCTCATTGGTTATTATTGAAGTATTCCCTGAAGACCAGGGTGAATACATGTGTACTGCCAGTAACAAGTATGGTACAACTTCAACCAGCTGTACCCTTGTTGTTGAGAGTAAGTTCTACATGTTCTTCTGTACAATTTCCCTTTTTTTCCTTCCTCTAAGTGTTTGTGTGTTGTTTGTCCGCTACCGTTTGTCCAAATGTTTTTACCATTTCACAATACAATTCATAACTATACAATATTTCTAAAATTAGAATTCTAGAATATAGAATTAATACTAGGATATAATGTAAACTAAAATGTTAAATTTCAAGTCATGAAAATCAGGATTATAGTCAGAACAGATATTTGTAGTTTACTTAACAGAATTAGATTAACTAATTGTAACACTTTTTCATGTCTGTTAAATCATTAAGGTGGTTCCAGTAAGATAAATTGTGTCCCTATTAGTGGATATCAGTATGTGAATCTATATGTATAATGTGCTACTAAATCAGATATTATTCTACCCAGCCTAGCTTCATTTCTTGCTTTATGTTTATTTACATAAATACACACATTAAGTAATCTTCATTTACAGCTGAAGAAATCACATCCACAACTGAGACAAAAACTACAACAGAGATCACCACCACACATACTCCTATAACCATAGAAGAGAAATCTAGCTTTACAGAGACAATGACCATCACACACGAAGGTACCCAGCCCACTGACATTCAAACAGTCACAAAGGAGATCAGTACTGAGGCTCAACCAGCTGGCTCTAGGATGGAGATTGAAATCCTTGAGCAGAAACCTATTGTAGAGGCAGATGTTACACATAGACAGTCTATGGAGATGTTGGTATCTGCATCTGAAGATGAAGTAGACGAGCCTCACCCAACGATCCCTGAGTTTATATCTAAACTTGAGCCACAGTTGAAGGTAATGGATGGAGATGAGGTAACGTTCAGATGCTCAATCAGCTCAAGGGCAAGACCAGTTCCAACCATTACATGGTTCCATGACAATAAAGTGGTAGAGGAGACCCCTGACTTCCAGCTTAGATACATCTCTGAGACTGGTGAATGTATCATGAAGATTGTTGAGGTGTTCCCCCAGGATACTGGTGAATACAGATGTGAGGCTGAGTTCCCACATGGTACAGCAGTCACTACCTGCTACCTAACTGTTGACTGTAAGTTCTTACAAGCTCTGTTTAAAATGCAATTATAAAAACTAAAAAGAAGTTACATTTTCATATTTCGGGATTTATTTTAAAAGAAGTTCTCAGATATTAAATAATCAGAAAATTAAATCAAACCAAGTAATAAAATAAGCAATCACTCAGTTTAGTTTTAATGACTTTAACATGTCATTTTGTGTCATTTTGTTTATTGCAGCATATGAGTATGTGCAGGATAGTGAGGAAGCTTCAGCCACTGATCGTTCCATCACATCACCTCCTGAACCAACACCAGTAGAGGATGAAGACTTTGTCGAAAAAACTCAAGCATTTGTTGAACAAATGAAAAGCCTACAGAAACAGATAGCTACTGAATTTCCAGAAGAACGCTTCACAGAAGAGATCACAATTCAAACCAAGCACGAAGTTGCTGAGACTGCACAATATACACAGGAGGTTCAAATTCAAACTGACACTCAGGTGACACAACAACAGACTGTGGAATTTGGGCTGCAGAAAGCAACAGTTGAGGAACAAGAAATCACTGAAACTCCCCAACAGGAGGTATCCGCAGCAGTTCTTCCTGGCGAGATTTCTCTTACACTAGAAACTGCAGAAAAAGCAGTAAGACCAACCACTCTTGTATCTGCTTTGGAGGAATCCATTGATCTAACTGAAACAAAGGATAAATCAAAGGAGACATCTCCAGAATTAACAAGTGCAGATGAAATACCAGATGAAACTGATCTAGCTGAAAAGCATGATAGACCACAGATGCAAGTACAACAAGTTGTTGAAGCAGTGGATGTCAAAGAAGCGGAGAGTGTTGCTGCAACAGCTTCAGGTTCAACCCAAGAAGAATTTATACCAATGGAGATGGAACCAGCTAAGAAAGAACCTCAACCAACTACTCTTGTGGAACAAGTGTCTGAGGAGGTAGAGGTGAAGGAAACTCTTGAAACAGCTAAGGAGAAGTCCCCTGAACTAGCCCCAGCTGATGAAATTCCATCAGAAGTAGACCAAGCTGAAAAACAACCTCGTCCAAGCACACAGACTGACAAAGTTGAAGAGGTGGTTGATGTACAACAAACTGAAGAAGTTGAAGCTACTGCTTCTGGATCAACCCAAGAGGAGTTTATTCCTATGGAACTTGAACCTGCTGAAAAGTTGGAAAGACCTACCACCCAAGCTACACATGTATCTGAAGAGGTGGAAATAAAAGAGGCTGGTGAAACAGCTAAAGAAAAGTCTCCTGAATTAGCTCCCACAGAGGAAACCCCATCTGAAGTTGAACAAGCTGAAAAGCAATTCAGACCAACAACCCAAACTGATAAAGTGGAAGAAGTAGTTGCTGTAAAGGAAACTGAAGAAGTTGAAGCTACTGCTTCTGGATCAACCCAAGAGGAATTTATTCCTATGGAACTTGAACCAGCTGAAAAATTGGAAAGGCCTACCACCCAAACTACTCAAGTATCTGAAGAGGTGGAAATAAAAGAGGCGGGTGAAACAGCTAAGGAAAAATCCCCTGAATTAGCTCCAAGAGAGGAAATTCCATCTGAAGTTGAACAAGCTGAAAAGCAACTCAGACCAACAACCCAAACTGATAAAATTGAGGAGATAGTTGTTGTAAAGGAAACAGAGGAGGTTGAGGTTACAGCAACAGGAACAACCCAAGAGGAGATGATCCCGATGGAACTTGAACCAGCTGAGAAACTAGAAAGACCAACTACACAAGCAACACATGTATCAGAAGAAGTGGAGATAAAGGAAACAGGTGAAACTGCCAAAGAAAAATCTCCTGAATTGGCACCAGTTGATGAAATTCCATCTGAAGTAGACCAAGCTGAAAGACAATTGAGACCAACCACACAGACTGACAAGGTTGAGGAGTTGGTGGAAGTTAAACAAACAGAAGAAGTTGAGGCTACTGCAACTGGTGAGACACAAGAGGAATACATACCTATGGAACTTGAACCAGCTGAAAAGGTTGAAAGACCAACTACACAAACTGAGAAAATAGAGGAGGTTGTTGAAGTTAAAGAAATCTCACAAGGACCAGATGACCTAGTCACTGCTGAGCCTGTTGAGGATGAGATTCCATCTCAAGTGGATACTGCTGAGAAACAGGAACGACCTTCAACTCAAACTGTTATAGTTGAAGAAGGTGTTGACATAAAAGAAACCACAGAAGGCCCAGCTGACACAATAACTGCTGATACCACTACAGAGGATATCCCATCTGAGGTCGATACTGCGGAGAAACAGTTGAGACCCACAACACAAACGTTAATTGTTGAAGAAGGTGTTGAGATCAAGGAAATAATGGAAGGTCCAGAAGATACTGTTACAAGTGAGCCAATCACAGATGAGATTCCTAGTGAAGTAGATACAGCTGAAAAACAACTGCGCCCAACAACTTTAACTGACAATGTTGAAGAAACTGTTGAAGTGAAAGAGATTGTTGAGGGACCAGCTGACACTGAGACAGCAGAGCCACTGACTGAGGAAATACCATCTGAAGTAGATACAGCTGGTAAAGAGCAAAGGCCAACTACCCTAGTCAGCGATGTTCAAGAAATCGTTGATGTTAAAGAGGTCACCGAAGGTCCTTCAGATACCGTGACTGCTGAACCACTGACTGATGAAATTCCTTCTGAGGTTGACAAAGCTGGAGCAGAGCTACGACCAACCACACTGGTGCAAAAGGTTGAAGAAACCATTGAGGTGAAAATAACTACTGAGGGTCCAGATGATCTTGTAACTGCTGAACCCGTTACTGAGGAGATACCCTCTAAGGTTGACACAGCTGAAAAAGACCAGAGGCCAACAACCATGGTAGTAAATGTTGAGGAGACTGTAGAGGTAACTCAAACCACAGAGGGTCCTGCAGAGACGGTAACTGCTGCACCTGAAACCCAAGATGTTCCATCTGAAGTTGTTAAAGCAGGTAAGATACCCAAACCCTCTACCCAAGTAGAAATAGTTGAGGAAGGTGTTGAGATTAAAGAAATTTCAGAAGGTCCAACAGAAACTGTGACATCTGAGGCAGGTACAGAAGACATTCCAACTGAGGTTGACACTGCTGAGAAGCAACTAAGACCAACAACACAGACTCAGAAAGTTGAAGAGGTGATTGATGTCAAAGAGACCCTGATTGGGCCTGATGATACATTTTATGCTGAACCTATTGAAGAGGAAATCCTATCAATGGTAGATACAGCCCACAAGCAATTAAGACCTACCACACAGGCTGGCGATGTTGAAGAACTCATTGAAGTTAAAGAAACTGCCCCAGGGCCTGATGATACAGTCACAGAAGAACCTTTAACTGATGAAATACCGAGTGAAGTTGATACTGCTGAAAAGCAGCTTAGACCAACTACCTTAACAAAGAGTGTTGAGGAACTTGTTGATATAAAGGAGACTGAGACAGGTCCAAGTGACACTATTACCGATGAGACAACAACAGAAGATATTACCTCTGAAGTTGACACTGCAGAAAAGCAATTAAGACCAGCTACTCAAACCAGTGAAGTTGAAGAAATAATCACAATTAAAGAGACTCAAGTTGGACCAAGTGATGTAAGCTATGATGAACCAGGGACAGAGGATATTATAAGTGAAGTAGACCATGCAGAGAAGCATGACAGACCAACCACCAAAACTGAGAATGTTGAAGAAGTTATTGCCATCAAAGAGACTGATGAAGGCCCTGATGACACAGTCACAGCTGAACCATTAACTGAGGAAACACCAGTTGAAGTTGACACAGCAGAAAAGCAATTAAGACCAACAACAAAAACAGAAAAGGTGGAAGAGGTTATTGAGGTCAAAGAGACTGAGATTGGACCTGATGACACCGAAACAGCAGAACCAATTACAGAAGAGATTCCAGTAGAGGTTGATCAAGCTGAAAAACAGCTTAGGCCTACAACTCAAACTGAGAAAGTTGAAGAAGTTGTTTCAGTTGCAGAAACCAATGTTGGCCCTGATGATACTTTCTATGATGAATCTGGCACTGAGATAATACCAAAAGAGGTAGATACTGCAGATAAAGAGGAAAGGCCAATCACTGAGACTCAAAAGGTTGAAGAAGTTGTTGATATTAAAGAGACCACTGTAGGTCCTGATGATACAGTGACAGACGAACCAGTCACTGATGAAATACCAAGTGAAGTTGATACTGCTGAAAAGCAGCTTAGACCAACTACCTTAACAAAGAGTGTTGAGGAACTTGTGGACATTAAGGAGACTGAAACAGGTCCAAGTGACACTGTTACTGCTGAGACAACAACAGAGGAAATTCCCTCTGAAGTTGATACTGCAGAAAAACAACTGAGACCAACTACCCAAACAGAAGATGTTGAGGAAATCAACAAGATATCAGATACTGAGAGTGGTCCTGAGGATACATTTTATGACCAACCAGGAGAAGAAGTAATTCCCTCTGAAGTTGGTGAAGCTGATAAACATCACAGACCTACAACATTAACTAAAGATGTTGAGGAAGTAGTGGATATTAAGGAGACTACAGTTGGTCCAGATGATACTATTACAGCAGAGCCAATAACTGAAGAAACACCAGTTGAAGTTGATCAGGCAGATCAACAAGATAGGCCTGTCACTAAAATAGAAAAGGTTCAAGAAGACGTTAGTATTTCTGATACAGAGAGTGGACCCGAAGATACAGTCTTAGCTGAACCCACAACTGAAGATATACCATCTGAGGTTGATACAGCAGATAAGCAGCTAAGACCAACCACTCAAACTGATAAGGTTGAAGAAGTGATTGCTGTGAAGGAAACTGAAGTAGGACCAGATGACATCAAATATGAAGAACCTGGTACTGCTGATGTACCTTCTGAAGTAGTCCAAGCTGACCTTATGCACAGACCATCAACTAGAACTGATGATGTTGAGGAAATAGTTGATGTCAAGGAAACTGAAAAAGGACCAGATGACACTGTTGAAGCAGAACCAGTCACTGAAGATATACCATCTGAAGTTGATCAGGCTGAGAAACAGCTAAGGCCTACAACTTTAACCAAAAGTGTTGAAGAATTGGTAGATATCAAAGAAACAGAAACAGGTCCAGAAGATACTGTAACAGCAGAGACAACTACAGAGGATATACCAACTGAAACTGATATGGCTGATAAACAGCAAAGGCCGATCACTCAAACTGAAAATGTTGAAGAAGTCATCAATATCTCTGACACTGAGAGTGGACCAGAGGATACATTTTTTGCAGAACCTGGACAGGAGGAAATACTATCCAAAGTTGATACAGCTGATAAAATACTAAGACCGACAACACAAACAAGCTCAGTTGAAGAGATTGTAGTTGTCAAAGAAACTGAAACTGGCCCAGATGAAACAATCACTGCAGAACCAATAACTGAAGATATTCCATCTCAAGTTGATACTGCAGAGAAACAACTGCGGCCATCAACTCAAACAACAGGTGTTGAAGAAACAATAACTATAAAAGAAATAAGTGAGGGACCACAGGAAACTGTTACAGCAGAGCCAACTACTGAAGATATTCCATCTGAGGTTGATATTGCTGCAAAACAGGATAGGCCTGCAACTCAAGCTGAAAAGATTGAGGAAACTATTGTGATAAAGGAAATTGAACAGGGACCAGAGGATCTAGTTACTGCTGAACCAGTAACAGATGAAATAGCTATATCTGTTGATACTGCTGAAAAGCAGCAGCGACCTGCTACTCAAACAATGAAAATTGAGGAGATTGTAGACATAAAAGAAATAGAACAGGGACCATCAGACACAGAAACTGCAGAGCCAATAACAGAAGATATACCATCACAAGTTGACACTGCAGATACTGAATTCAGACCTTCAGCTAAGGTTGGACAGGTTGAAGAAACAATACCCATATCTGAGGCTGAGGCAGCAGCCAGAGCTAAATCTCCTGAACAACTAGAGGGTGATGAAATACCAGTGGAGGTAGATACTGCTGAAAAACAGATGAGACCAACTACACAGGCAGGGGATGTTGAAGAAATTGTTGAAGTTAAACAAACAATAGAAGGTCCTGAGGATCTTGTTACTGCAGAGCCTGTAAGTGAAGACATTCCCTCAACTGCTGATGTAGCTGAAATACAGTTAAGACCTTCAACTAAAGTTACAGATGTAGAAGAAACTGTAGCCATAGCAGAAACTGATGAAGTACCCAGAGAAAAATCACCTGAACAAACCGAGGTAGCTGATACACCAATAGAAGTAGATGTTGCAGAGAAAATTCTGAGACCTTCTACACAAACATCTGATGTATTAGAAACCATTGAAGTGAAAGAAACAATGCAAGGACCAGAGGATCTGGTAACTGCTGAACCAATAATGGATCAAATCTTAACAACTGTTGTGACTGCAGAAAAGGAGCAAAGACCAACAACTCAAACTAAGGATGTCTTGGAACAAGTTGAAGTCAAGGAGACATTAGAAGGACCTGCAGATCTGGTAACAGATGTAACAACTAGTGAGGATATTCTGTCACAGGTTGACACCGCTGAAAAACAGCTTCGTCCTACTACATTAACAGAAAATGTTGAAGAGACTGTTGTAATTAAAGAAACCTTTGAAGGCCCTGCTGAAACAGTTACTGATATACCTACTACTGAAGACATTTTGTCAGTTGTAGTAACTGCCGAGAAACAGTTAAGACCAACAACCAAGACAGAAGATGTTGAAGAAACCGTTGAAGTCAAGGAAACGCTAGAGGGCCCTGCTGAAACAGTAACTGATGTGCCTGCAACGGAAGACATTCTTTCAGTTGTAGTAACAGCAGAAAAACAGTTAAGACCAACAACCAAGACAGAAGATGTTGAAGAAACTGTTGAAGTAAAGGAAACCCTAGAAGGCCCTGCTGAAACAGTAACTGATGTGCCTGCAACTGAAGACATTCAATCAGTTGTAGTAACAGCAGAGAAACAGCTAAGGCCAACAACTAAAACAGAGGATGTTCAGGAAACTGTTGAGATTAAAGAAACCTTAGAAGGCCCTGCTGAAACAGTAACTGATGTACCTGCAACTGAAGACATTCTGTCAGTTGTAGTAACAGCAGAGAAACAGTTAAGACCAACCACCAAAACAGAGGATGTTGTGGAAACTGTTGAAGTCAAGGAAACTTTTGAAGGCCCTGCTGAAACAGTAACTGATGTACCTGCAACTGAAGACATTGAGTCAGTTGTAGTTACTGCAGAGAAACAGTTAAGACCAACCACCAAAACAGAAGATGTTCAGGAAACTGTTGAAATCAAAGAAACCTTAGAAGGCCCTGCTGAAACAGTAACTGATGTACCTGCCACTGAAGACATTGAGTCGGTTGTAGTTACTGCAGAAAAACAGTTAAGACCTACCACCAAAATAGAAGATGTTGTGGAAACTGTTGAAGTCAAGGAAACCTTTGAAGGCCCTGCTGAAACAGTAACTGATGTACCTGCAACTGAAGACATTGAGTCAGTTGTAGTTACTGCAGAGAAACAGTTAAGACCAACAACTAAAACAGAAGACGTGGAAGAAACTGTTGAAATCAAGGAAACTCTTGAAGGCCCTGCTGAAACAGTAACTGATGTACCTGCAACTGAAGACATTCTATCAGTTGTAGTTACAGCAGAGAAACAGTTAAGGCCAACAACAAAAACTGAAGATGTTGAAGAAACTGTTGAGGTCAAGGAAACCCTCGAAGGCCCTGCTGAAACAGTAACTGATGTAACTGCAACTGAAGACATACTATCAGTTGTAGTAACAGCAGAGAAGCAGCTAAGACCAACCACCAAAACAGAAGATGTTGAAGAAACTGTTGAAGTCAAGGAAACACTGGAGGGTCCATTTACTCCTGTAACAAATATACCATCTGCCGAAGACACTTTGTCTGTTGTAGTAACTGCTGAAAAACAGTCAAGACCAACTACACAGACTGAGAAAGTTGAGGAAACTATTGTGGTGAAGGAGATAAGTGAAGGTCCTCAGGAAATAACTCTCATTCAACCAGACACAAAAGATATTCCATCAGAGGTTGACACAGCAGAAAAGCAATTACGACCAACCACCAAAGTTGAGAAAGTTGAAGAAGTAATAAATGTTACAGAAACCAAAGAAGGTCCAGCTGGTGTTGTGACTGCTGAGTCTGAGACATGGGAGGTTGGCATCAAGGTTGATAAGGCTGATAAACAAGATAGACCAACTTCTAAAGTTGAGAAAGTTGAAGAGGTCATTGAAGTTAAAGAAGCAGCAGAAGGTCTTCAAGAGACCACAACAGAACAAACTTTTACCGAAGATATCCCATCAGAAGTGGACACTGCTGAAAAGCTATCAAGGCCAACAGCAGTTGTTGACCAACAACAAAGTGTTGTTCAGCCTGAAATTGTTTCTGAAAAACCGGAGAATGGCCCCAAGGCATCAGATCTACACCCTGCACAGGTCACTGTTGACCTTGATGCAGTTACCCAAATTACTAGGAGAGAATCACTTGTACATACTCAACAGGTTACTCTTAAAACCGAGGAAGCAACACAGGTGACTGCTGTCAGTGCTGACTTAGTTCCTGTAGGGGAAGAAATTCAACTCACTTTGGATACTGCAGCACAGCAGCTTAAAATGCCATCAAGAGTTGTACCAAGTGAGGAACTCACCGATGTTGAGGAAACTGAGAAACCAGAGAGTCCAGTGCCTGAAGAGGTTGTTGCACCATTTGAAATACCATTTGATGAACTATTAGACCGACCAACTGAAGAAGAGCTCACATTTAGGGAACAAGAACAAATTGTTCTGCATTACAGACAAAAGGCAATTGAAATCTATGCTAATCAAATTGCTAGAGAAATCATTGCTGAAGCTCAAGAGAGAGCTGTATCAGCAATCACACTTCAACCCAAACCTGTCTTCCAAGAGATGGAATTGGAAATTCCCGAAGATGTCAACAAGAAATATGTTGAGAAAACATTCAAAGAATCTCTTGAACTTGGTCCTAGAGAAAGGAAATTTGAAACAGTTGAAATTGAAATTCCTGAACCAGTTGAGAAAAAATACACCGAGCAAGTTTTCAAAGAAACTGTTGAAATTGCTCCAAAGGAGCGTACATTTGACACCATTGAACTCGAAATACCAGAACCTGTTGAAACTAAAATCACAGAGAAGGTGTTTAAAGAGACATTGACGATAGAACAGCAACATGAGATCAACCTTGCAACTGAGAGAACTGTTCGTCAACAACAGGAGATCCAATTGATGATCGCCCCCTTCTATACAACAACACTTACAGACCAGACAGTTAAAGATGGTGCTCAAGTTTTACTAGAGATCCACGTTGAGGGTAGTCCCCAACCAGAGATAACATGGTATGTGGATAGCGTGGAGTTAAAGCCCTCTCCTGATATCAAGATCACATACAAGAATGGATGGGCTTCCCTACTCATTTTGGAGGTGTTCCCAGAGGATGAGGGTGAATACATGGTACAGGCAACCAACCCAGCAGGCACTTGTGAAACAACAGCATATATAACAGTATTAGGTGAGATACAATACACCTACTCTATATGGTGGACCACTCATATTCTGTGAAGGCTCGGGACATCTGGAATTTTTGCCTAAAATGGATTTTTTCACAAAACTTGCATGCTTTCAATTTTTGTCTCACTATATGTTTTCCTTTCCTCACCTTGTTTCTGAGTGGTCTTTCCTCCGTTGTCTATTTCTATGTAGTATTTAGCCATTCTATCAACCAGTTGCAGATGTTAGATATAGCTTATTAGCCCATAGCGTTCACCGTTCATACACATGTTTAGATTAGTAAAGCACTTGCACACCAATATTGCTTTTTATTTTATATTATGCTTAGAATTTCTGCGCATGATACAGTAGAATATGATGAATTTATTGCTACTGTTGAAGTTGAGCTTAAATGGTGTCTACCTTGCTTCAGCTGAAACCCAGTTGGTGATTAATGACCAAATGTTGTAAAAATGTTGTAACATTAGCTTATTACCCGATGCTTAAACCTGAGTTGAAAGCTATTATAGAAGATGTACTACATATTGACGTTATCATTAGCTGCCTGGCAATGATGTTGTAACCCCCATTACTTGTTTACTTAGCTTAGTAGTATTGTAATTTGCTTCTGAAGAACTGGAATCCAGCACTTCTTAGCAAAATGTAGGACAGTATTGTATTGTAACAGTATACATTATATGCACTCCCTATAGTTTAGATTACTTTATTTGTCCTATTATTGATGCAGAATTGTTATGTATTTATTTATATTTATTCTAAGAATATGGTGTTTGAGCACTTTTAGCGAGGCTCCCCATAAATGCAGCACTGATTTTGTATTTGATCTGAATGTGTATATGAATTGTATAATTTTATTAGAGTTAACATGGGCTTCATTATTTCATTGGCATGATTACATCTTATTGGTTAAACATGACAATGACATGTAACCAAATCCTGTAGCAACTGCCGTTGATAGAATGAGTAAATATTAATAGAAATAAACATACATGTATTATGAATAATTAAGAAATATGTATATATTTATAATTACAGTTTTAATTAACAATTACAGTTTTAATTCAGCAAAAGTGACCATTTCTGTACACAGCAGAATGTTTCTTGCTAAAAGTGTTAATATTAAAGCAACAGAAGAAAACAGTCCTAACAAATACCATTTCCATACCTTTTACATTAACTGCCACCATGTTCATTTCCAGCGGCCACAACCACCTCTGAATCAGAGTTCTCATCGGTTCCACCATCTCCTCTTGTATCAGACAGGGAAGAAATTTCATTTGAGATCTCAAAGGTTAAAACAGAGGAGACCATTCTCCTTGAGCCTGTGCCCAGTGAGACAATCACTGAGGAACTGCATGGCGTGGAAGTTGAGCTAGATATCACATCAATTGAGTCCTCCATTAGGAGTTCTCCTGAGCCTGAACAGCCAGTGGAAGAACCAGAGCAGCCAGTTGAAGAACCAGTCCTTGAGGCACCTGTGTTCACTGAGAAATTGGTACATAAGGATGTCATTGAGGGATTCCCAGCTACTATGGAATGCTTTGTAAAAGGCACCCCTGAACCAGAGATAACTTGGTACCAGGTAAGCATACATAGCACCAATTATGTTGTTTAATATTGAACTGCAACAATGCAACATTCTGAACTTAAAAATTGAATTGAAAACCTTATTTGTTGTGACCAGTTTCACCAATATTGTTATAGAAGTTAAATGATTCTTTCCAATAAGATATATATTCATATGTAATATAAACACTTACTCTGCCAGTGATTATACGCACAACCTTCTTTCTTGAATGTCTGCTAATGAGTATACTCATCCAAAATGCATTTTATTGTGAGGCACATATGTGAATGTGATGTAATATACTACACAGGATGATGTTGAGCTCCCTGCAGATGACCATTATGAGCTGACCTACAAGCAAGGTAGATGCACTCTACACATCCCTAGCACTAATGACCTTGATGAAGCTGAATACAAATGCAAGGCTGAGAATGAAGCAGGAGTCACCACCACCTGGGCTGAACTGTTTATAGAAAGTAAGATCATTTGAATATTACAAAGCTCTTGAGTTATGTCATATGCTTAGTTTAATACACTAGGAATATGGAAGATGGAATCAGTTTATTTGGGCAATGGTCACCAAAAGCAACATTACAACAGCAAAATGGATATTTACAACAGCAAAAATATGAAACAAATTCGAAAATGTAAACATGTAAATTGATATTTTTGGGAATGGCAAATTGCTTTTAGCAGGCATTGAGGGAAATATTTGAAAAACACTACACAAACTAAAAAACTGAAACAAGTCAAATTATTGACGTCTCATTGAAGCATTTGGTGTTGTAAAAATCCAAAAGTTACTTTGAACTATAATTATATTCACATAACTACAATACGTTTACGATTTACATTCCGAAGTGCTTCTAGGTTTTTTTCATATTAACGTGAATGTTTTATTGTTTTACTCAGAGCTAGTGAGTGCTGTTGAACAGACAATTCTTGAGGAGTATTACGAGATTGAGGTTGACATGCTGGTCCGCTGGGTGTCAAGAGCGGGAAGACCTGTTATAACTGCTGCTAAAGCTAAACACTCTCTTAAAGAAATTGAACCGAAAAAATGATATTGCAATTATTAGCTAAAAGATTATCAAAATTAAAATCATATAATTTTTTGATTTTTGTTTTGATAATTTTTGTATATCAGGACTCAAATATTCTTATATACATTATGATGCATTATGAAAGATACTGTTTGGGTCTGTCCTATTGTACAACTACATAAAAGGCACGCTATCTGATATCTTCAATCTTAATTTCAATATGAATGACCATGATGTGTGTCTTTTTTTCCCACTAGCAACTAACATAACACTCACTTTCTTCAACTCTTTATTTGCACTAAAACTTTCTTTTAAAATGCATTAATCATCAAAATCTTTATCATGAGTAAAGCATTGTACACTTTTGATAATTAACAATTTGATTTCAAAATGTGTCAACTACAAGCTTGTGTGACATTTTGGCCATATTAGGTTTTTCACCAGGAAACTGAATGATTTTTCCTTGAATACTTCATAATTTATGTGTATATAAGACTTTGATGTGATATCTCTGATTAATTTTTAACTATCTCTTTTCATGTCTTAATAATTGGTTGTGATCATAATTTCAGAATAATACAGAGTATCTCATTATATTATACAGTCAAGTTTTATTTTTTGATGTCTCTTCTGTTAACATTCTTAAAAAACTAAGAAAAACAATAACATACTTCTTTAGACTTTACTCGTGCAATAAACTCATCTTGTGGTCTGAGTTATTCACAATTTTAAAACTTAATTTGTATTTCATTTTAACACAAGTAACGATTTTGATATTCATTTATTCTAAACCATTTTATAAATGTTTTGTTTTATTTGTTACATAATTCACATTCCTTTCTGTTATCCTTTTTTATCAAGAATATAGGACAACTCAGACAAAATCTTTTGATAAGATTGCAAACAAATAAAACTATATTGGGTAAAATAATTGCAATATATTTGTCACTTTGGGGTAATATGTGTTATATATTTGTCTCTTGTAATCAGTATAGTGTTAAAAGCTAGAGTGCTGTGCGCAAATCTGATATTTTTGCTTCTTTTACAACAAACATATTCCCCCATTTGTGATTGGTTCTATTTCAGGAAATTGTTATGCAAAGCATCATGGTTTTGGGATATTTCGGATTTAATAGACTAGCTTTAGGTGTATCTTTAATGTGTATATATAGATTTTGAGGGTAGACATTTTTTCTGTGTGCTAGACTGTTAAACATGATGCTTTGTAATTTGTCAAATTGTCTATGTAATTGTTACAACTGATATTGTAATTGGTTGGGTTCAACTTTCAACAGCACTCCTAACTCCTCCAGTTTAATGTGTATAAGATGGCACAATAGATATTTTTCTTTTATGAATGATACTCAATATGTGGTGATACTGACACACCACATGTTAATCAATCAAATGCTCAGTTTGATTTACTTCATCACTTAATTGTAGCATTGTGACATTATTGTACCACCTGAGTACCATATCAAATCTCCATGGAATATATCTTGTGGATTGAGAAAAATGATTGATTTGTCCCTGGCCTGCTTGATTATAATAGAATTACAGGCTGTATTGTTTCAGGGCTAAATGTCTCATGCCTTGTCATTATTGGATATTGTAGAACCCATGCGTCCTGATGAAAGTGAACCTGACCAAGTGAAACTTGAAGTCACACAAGAAACTGTGGATGGGGCGGTAGCAGAGACAACTACGTTAGGTTGGAAAGCATTATTGTCTCAAGAGGATGACTCAGACACTCGCATGCAAACCCTATTCATGTTAGCCATGATGGCTATGATGTTTATACGTTTCATCGTATGGTTGTTTGGGTTTATGTCTTGTTTCTACAACTGTTACCTCTACTGTATCTTCTCTGAAGGACCGTTCTGAGATATTAAGACCCTCTTTAAAGGTCCTCAGATCAGAGTCGCAATCTCACCAACAACAGTAGTCAAAGGAAACTGATTGGCTTTTCGGCTTCAAATCAAATCTCAATTTTGACATGCCTTTCTTAAATGGCTAAATGAATATTTATTTTTAAAGTTATTTTTTCATCATGTTACTTGGCTTTGTTCACTTGTTAAATTGTTAAAGCTTTTGTAGATATTTTTAGAAAATGTTCACGCTCCTCAATTTTAGCATTTGATAGTTTGCCACTCTGATTGCCGGACACGTTTATACATAGTGATAGTACCTGCTTCAGAAAGCTATGAAATGTGTACAATACACATGGAGTGAAATCGGACTCACATTTGTTCAGTGTACAATAATTCAACACATCCACTGGTACAGCTTCAACTTTTCGAAAAATTGCTTTGTTAAATGTTATTTAAGAGCTTATATTTTTAGACCCTCGTATTTTACACTTTCGGATGTGGCTGTGTTGAATATTAAGCTGTTTTATGATTTCATGCAGGCCTCTTGTCTTACCTCACATAGACCTAGAGGCCTTGTAGAAATCTTAACAAGCACACTATGCCTAAAGGACTTGAACTCTAAAGCAGGTGAAAGACTTTCTGTACAGGTGGCTGGATGTTTTATATTTTTCTAAATTATTATTCACAAGGATTGTTTAATTACTTCTTCAGTAATATACTGAACTTTACAAAGACTCTTGCACTCTTTAACATATGGACTGTCTATGGACTATTCTTGCTACAATAGTATATGTAATATACAAGCTATCTAGCTATAGATCAGTATTGAAATCATGGGTACCACCTTTACAGTATTCTGTGTGACTTCAAACTCTACTGTACATACTCTTTATAGGGCTGTTACCTATATCAGTTAATAAACAACATGTGCAATGTGAAATCAAAATGCAATGTGGCTTCTGGTTTGGTTATATCATGAGTCCTCATGACATACAACAAACAAGTGAAAGATGAGAAAGAATCCCTTATATGGTGTAAAAGTAAATTTTGGAATGTTATTTAAAATAACCAGTAACCAATACTACCTTTTATACTTTTACCTTTTGGTATGCTGATTTCTTATTTGTTGCTCATGAGCAAGCACTTTATACTGAGGGAGAGCTACATTGTAGATAGTATGTAACAATTTTTGAAGCACACTAGTCTATCACCTACCAGTATTGTTAAACTATTTAGGCATAGTGCACTGAATAAAGCATGCCGGCATGCTCCGGTAGTGACAAGCATGCGTCTCAACTCCATTTTTCTTTGTTAAATGTTGACCAAAGTCTACCTTGTATCTCCTCTCGTTTTCTCGCGTTCTGCTGAACTTAAATTGTTCTTAATTGTTAATTAACATTTTCTTCTACTTGTTTCTCCTGGTTCGTGTTACTTGTCGTCTGTTTCTTCTTATGTTTATGTTTGTCTCATCTTTTTTTGTTACTTGTTTTATATTTTTTTTTATATGTTATGATTAATATGTTATGCATGTAATGTTTTTCAGGCCTAGGTTAGTATAATACATGTTTTTCATACAGTAGTTTATGTAATATATATTGCTTATAGGACTTGTTATGTATGAGTGATGTTGTGTGAGTAAGAATGAATGCATGGCTAAATGTTTCTTTATTTTTACACCAAATTGTCCATTTTACGTAAAAAATCAATCCTTTGTCAAGTACATGTTTTCCACATGTTACCCATGTTTATAGTGTATACCCTGTTATGTTCATATGCAGTTTTTGGTCGTACAGTAGATTTTGGGCATTTTTGCCTTTATTTGTATTCTTAGTTTTCCATTTTACAGTTCTGTAGTTTCCTCCACATTTCCAGTAGTGACACGCATTAATGGGATATTGTCATGTTTTACTGCTATGTGGTAAAGAGGTGCAAAATGTCTCCATGCATTCATTGCATTAATTGAAAAATTCTATTTTGGTCATATCTAAGAATACACAGGATATTTGAAAATTGAAGTATTTAAAAAAGCATAATGAACAGTTTTAATGGGGTATACTGTGCCTTTATGAAATTTTGTTGTTGCCCCGATGAGTGAATTATATGTGAAACTTCCACCCAAATCACATCTTACTACAAACAAAAGAAAAATTTAATATGATGGTTCACAAATGTTAATAAATTTCTGAAGATTGTTTCTTAATGATCTTGAGTGATTTTATTGAGTCCTTTTGAGTGCTTGATATTGAAAAAGTCTAATTCCACCCAGTTTTGAATGTTCAGAAATATTCCATAATTTGTGAATCATCTTGTCACAATTATATCCTCAGCACTATTATATGGTGATGGCATTTTCAATTTAAACAAATTGTAAGACTTAGAATAGATGAACATTAATTACAAATACTCCAAAAGAACATTTTGAATGTATTCCTTCCAACAGGCCTCACAATATTTTCTGAAAATTGAAATTGAAAAAAAGCATGACAGGGAATTTGCAAAATAATTTTTGTAACACTTTTAATATTGGCTGGTGGAAGGAATGCATGGAATCTATATACAAGTATTGGTTTTTATTATTTTTATATTCTATTCATTTTGTTCATTTAATATTATTTATTTTACACTTATTTGAACAGTAATTTAATATTTTACATGACAAATAGATAAAGTTATAGATTCTGATTTAATATATTCATTTACATCAATATTACATTTTTCTCCATACATATCATTCTTTATTTCACTTAACTTCTGTTTATGGTTTCTTTTCTTTATCATCATCACATCTTTCAATCTGAACTATGACATAAATTAAACACAAATCATTTTGACTTTATCACAACAGAAACAACAGAAGTTAGCATCGAAGTTCCTAAGACAGAAACCAGTGAAGTTACTGTAGAAATGACCAAGAAGGAGCTCACTACCATTGATATGGAGATCAAGCCCCAGGAAATAACTGAGACTGTAGCCTTAGTTGTGGAGAAAAAGCAAGAAGTGATAACTGAATCTCGTGAAATCCATATGGATATTGATACTAAATCTCCTGAGCCTGTTGTAGATGTAGCCATGACTTTTGACATTGAAAAACCTAAAGAGGAGATTCTTAAAGTTAAAGATACATCCCCAACACCTGTTGACACAGTCCAGGTTGTTGAGGAACAAAAGATAGAACCACCTAGAACTGAGACTACTGAATTTAGCATTGATGTAACCAAAAAGGTCGAAGCACCAATTACAGAAACTACTGAAGTATCTCTAGATGTAACCAAAATAGAAACAGCTGAGAAAACAATTGAAGTGACAAAAGAAGTTGAAGCACCTGTCACTGAAACTACAGAGGTGACAATGGATATTTCAAAAACTGAAAAAAGCGAAGTGAGTGTTGAAATGACCAAAAAGGAACTATCTACAGTTGAACTTGAGGTAAAACCACAAGAAACAACTGAAGCTGTTACATTAGTTGTTGAAAGAAAACAAGAAGTAGTCACTGAGGCTCGGGAAATCCATATGGAGATTGATACCAAATCTCCTGAACCTGTACAAGAAGGGGCATTTGACCTTGAGAAACCGGAAGAAGAAATTCTTAAAGTTAAAGATACATCACCAGTACCAATCGGAACAGTTGAAATAACTGATGAACAAAAGGTTGAAGAACCCATAGGTGAAGCTCCTCAATTTGTCAAAACATTAGAAGATACACACACCACTGAGGGCAAACCAATGCGCCTAGAATGCAAAGTCACAGGTATTCCACGACCAAACATAACATGGCTTCTTGATGATGAGGAATTACAAGATACTACTATATATGATATTGTATATACTGAAGACTGTACTTGTGTGTTGACAATACACGAGTCTTTCCCTGAGGATGAAGGCGACTATTCATGCAAAGCTGTGAATGAGTATGGAGAGGCAATCACCACTGCAGAGCTGACAGTCACAGGTTTGAACTTTGTGATTGCTGTAACCTGCACAACTGACCTTAATCAATATAATACCCTGCATGGTTGCACCAGATAAGAGACCCTATTTGTGTTTATGTTACTATAAAAACTGCATGAGAACCTGTGTGATGTTAACCCTCTATCAAAACTTTGAATGTATATACATACATTTTTTTATCATTAGGATTCCTTGCACCACAATTCCAATTTAGTTATAGTTATAAACACAGTAGCCATGTGAGAAATGTTTAGTTATTTAATAGTCCCTAGCATGTATAGTCCTAGTCACCTATGTTATTCAAATATTTAGACCTCCTCTTGTTTTGTGTGATTAATTTTACTTACAGAATGATCAAACCTAAAGTAACATACATACTGCACACCCTAGTGTAATCAAATTGCATGGTTGACTCTTAATGTCAATTACAAATGTTCATAATCTTGTTTTGCATCATTATCTAATTCTTTTAATTCCAGGTATCTAACCCTCTGTAGTGATTGACATACACCCTTGTGTATTAGTTAAGTTTCAGCACCATCCCAATTTATGTATGCATGTATTAGTTGCACTAAATACATCCAATGTATATTGTAATGATATTATTGCTTCAAATGGACTTTTTATAAACATTTATATTAATCCATTTAGGATGAATATAAATTCATATTTTACGTGATTTGCGCGGACTATAATTCATTTGGTGCGATATATATCATATGATGTGTCTTGTTTAATGTATTCAATATTTCAGAATTTTCATATATAAAAATATCTTACAATTAGGCTATGTAAATTACTTTATGAGAGTTAATTATATTCAGACCATTTCTTTACATATTTTCTTTTGACTATTCTTTTTATACCTCTTCTGCTAATATATTCCAACTCTAAATATATAAAACCCAAGTAGATGCTTTTTAAATCCAAATTGTCCATTGTCATATGTTAAATGTGAAATCCTCTTGTTAGGCAAAATGATTGAAGAATATACAGCTTCTGAACAAAGTGCAAGTGAAGAAGGTGATTTAAAAGAGTTCCCGTCATCACAGAGTGAAGTTTCAGTTGAAAGTGAAGATATCACAACAGAATCTGAAGGATCGATGGGGGTTGACATTGCAACAAGCTCATTCCTGTCACAACCATTAGATGCTAGACTTAGCCCAGAGCAAGTAAAGGAAATACCTGGTGATGAAGGGGTTGAAGCAGAAACTGGCCAAATTGTTTTGGAACTTGAAACAGCTTCATTGGATAAACCTGAAGTCCAGGTTGGAGAACAGGATATCACATACACTACCGAGTTTTCACAAGAGATCATTGGTGGATTGGATCAATCTCAACTTGTTCCAGGGGAAATAACTTTAACATTTGATACAGCTGCAATGGAGCAACAAAAGGAAACTCTTATACCAGTGCAGAGCATCACCGAAAAACAGGAAGAAACACTGACGGTTCAGGTTACTGAGAAACCAACTTCTTTGGATGATCTTTCTGAGGAACAAAAACAATTAGTAGAAGCTTTCCTTGAGGTGAGACCAGAGACCAAGATTGAACCACAAAGCACAACAATGGAAATTGAGGTCACAAAAGATGAACCTGAAACACAACCAAGCAGTTCAGTTGATCTCACCGAAGAACAAAAGGAATTGGTTGAGGCATTCTTAGAAATCAGACCTGAAACAAAATCCATTCAACAGACTGAAACTATTGAGCTTGAAATCACTCAAGATGAAATAACACAGAAGCCTTCTAGTCTAGCAGACCTGACTGAAGACCAAAAACAACTTGTAGAGGCCTTCCTTGAAGTCCAACCAGAGACTCAAATTCAGCCATCATTAGAGACCTTCAGAGTTGAGGTAATTCAGGACAAAGTTCTCACTAAATCTATAACATTAGATGAACTTCCCAAGGAGCAGAGAACCTTAGTCGAGGCTTTTATACAGGTCAGACCAGAACTACAAATTGGACAACAAATCGAAACTACAGAACTAGAAGTAGCACAACGAGGAACAGAAATAAGGGCTAAGTCACCAGAGGAGATAAAGGAGGTGAGACAACAACTTGTTCAATCTTTCCTGGAAGTCAAACCTGAGACACAAGTGCAACAACAGGCAATTCAATTACATGTAGATACTGCCAAGGGCCTCATGACTATTGAACAGACAACAGTTCCTTTTGAAAAGGTTCCTGATCAGGAATTATCCACAATTGAGATTGAAACCCAACCAGAGGTAGGGGAAGCCCCTCAATTCACCAATACATTAGAGAGCCAAGTAGTCATTGAAGGAAGTCAACTACATCTTGAATGTAAAGTAACTGGAACTCCAAGACCAGAGGTTTCATGGCTTGTTGATGATGAACTTATTGAAGACACAGCTACTTACAAAATGGTATATACTGAAGACCGTACATGTGCCTTGACAATCGAGGAGACCTTTCTTGAAGATGAAGGCGAATACATGTGCAAGGCTGTTAATGAATTTGGTGAAGCCACAACATCTGCAGATGTTTCAATTGGTACAGAACAATCAACACCTGATATATTTAGAATTGAGGTAATTGAAGATAATATTGTTACAAAGTCTGTCACAATGGAGGAACTGACTGAGGAACAAAGAAACTTGGTTAAAGCTTTCATCCAGGAAAGACCAACAATCCAGGTTGGAGAGCAAAGTGAAATTCTAGAATTAGAAACTGCACAAGAAAGACATCAAACTAAACCTAAAACATTGTCTGAATTACAGGAATCTCAGAAACAATTAGTAGAGGCCTTCCTAGAATTTAAACCTGAAGTTCAAGTTAAGCAGCAAGAAATCCAGCTGCGAGTTGATACTGCTAAGGGACTTATGACAATTGAGCGCACAACAGTTCCATTTGAAGAAGTTCCCGAACACCATATCTCTACTGTTGAAATTGAAACAAGACCTGAAACGCTTGTCCAACCATCTTTGGAATCATTCAAAGTTGAGGTTATTCAAGACAAGGTATTGACAAAATCTGTAACTATTGATGAATTATCAGAGGAACAAAGGCATTTAGTTGAAGCTTTTATACAAGTGAGACCCACTGTCAAAATTGGAGAACAGACAGAGGCTGTTGAACTTGAGGAAACAAAAGAAGGATTTGAAATGAGAGCCAAATCTCCTGAAGAAATGCAAGAAGTTCAAAAACAACTTGTTCAATCATTCTTGGAACTCAAACCAGAGGCACAAGTGCAACAACAGGAGATACAATTACATGTTGATACAGCCAAGGGGCTTATGGTTATTGAACAAACAACTGTCCCATTTGAACATATAACTCAACAGCTATCAACTGTTGATATTGAAACTAGACTCGAAACTCAGGTTCAACCCTCAACTGAAACATTCAGAGTTGAAGTTATTGAAGACAAGGTTGTCACAAAATCTTCCACTTTGGATGAGCTGACTGAAGAGCAGAGACATCTAGTTGAAGCCTTCATTCAAGCTAGGCCTGCAGTGCAGACAGAACAACAAGCTGAAGTTCTAGAATTAGAAGTCACTAAAGAAGGACTCGAAGCAAAACCAAAATCACTTGCTGATTTACAAGAGGTTCAAAAACACCTCGTGGAAGCCTTCTTAGAATTCAAACCCGAGGTCAAAGTTAAGCAACAAGACATCCAACTGCGTGTTGATACAGCTCAGGGCCTAATGACAATTGAACGCACAACTGTTCCATTTGAGGAAATCCCAGAAGAACATGTGGCAACTGTTGAAATTGAATCAAGACCTGAAACACTTGTCCAACCATCTTTGGAATCATTCAGAGTTGAGGTTATTCAAGACAAGGTTTTGACAAAATCTGTAACTATTGATGAATTGTCAGAGGAACAAAGGCATTTAGTTGAAGCGTTTATACAGGTCAGACCTACTGTCAAAATTGGAGAACAGACAGAGGCTGTTGAACTTGAGGAAACAAAAGAAGGATTTCAAATGAGAGCCAAATCTCCTGAAGAAATGCAAGAAGTTCAGAAACAACTTGTTCAATCATTCTTGGAACTCAAACCAGAGGCACAAGTGCAACAACAGGAGATTCAATTACATGTAGATACAGCAAAGGGACTTATGGTTATTGAGCAAACAACTGTTCCATTTGAACAGATAACTCAACAGCTATCATCAGTTGATATTGAAACTAGACTTGAATCTCAGGTTCAACCTTCAACAGAAACATTCAGAGTTGAAGTTATTGAAGACAAAGTTGTCACAAAATCTTCCACTTTGGATGAATTGACTGAAGAGCAGAGACATCTAGTTGAAGCCTTTATTCAAGCTAAGCCTGTAGTACAAACAGAACAACAAGCTGAAGTTCTAGAATTAGAAGTCACTCAAGAAGGACTTGAAGCAAAACCAAAATCACTTGCTGATTTACAAGAGGTTCAAAAACACCTCGTGGAAGCCTTCTTAGAATTCAAACCCGAGGTCAAAGTTAAGCAACAAGACATCCAACTGCGTGTTGATACAGCTCAGGGCCTAATGACAATTGAACGCACAACTGTTCCATTTGAGGAAATCCCAGAAGAACATGTGGCTACTGTTGAAATTGAAACAAGACCTGAAACACTTGTACAACCATCTTTGGAATCATTCAGAGTTGAGGTTATTCAAGACAAGGTTTTGACAAAATCTGTAACTATTGATGAATTATCAGAAGACCAAAGGCATCTAGTAGAGGCTTTTATACAGGTGAGACCCACTGTCAAAATTGGAGAACAGACAGAGGCTGTTGAACTTGAGGAAACAAAAGAAGGATTCGAAATGAGAGCCAAATCTCCTGAAGAAATGCAAGAAGTTCAGAAACAACTTGTTCAATCATTCTTGGAACTCAAACCAGAGGCACAAGTACAACAACAGGAGATACAATTACATGTTGATTCAGCCAAGGGGCTTATGGTTATTGAACAAACAACTGTACCATTTGAACAAGTACCAGAATCCCAACTTTCAACTGTACAAATTGAACAAATGCCTGATATAGAAGCTCCAAAGTTTGTATCTGTTCTTGAAAATACAGTTGCAATTGAGGGGAAATCTTTACACCTTGAATGCAAAGTTGAGGGGACTCCTAAACCTGATATAACATGGCTTGTTGATGATGAAAAGCTAGAAGACACTTCCATATACAAAATGGTATTTACTAAAGATTGTATGTGTGAGTTAACCATTCATGAGGTTTTCCCTGAAGATGAGGGAGAATATTCATGTAAAGCTGTGAATGAGTTTGGAGAAGCCATAACCTCTGCTGAAGTAACTATTCAGGCAGCTGATATGATAGAACCAACAGAGACTAGAATTGAGACAGAGATTCAACCTACAGTTGAAGTACTAAGGGTTGAGGTTATTGAAGATAAAGTTCTTACAAAGTCTATGACTATTGATGAACTAACAGAAGAGCAGAGGCACCTTGTTGAGGCATTTATTGAAGAAAGACCAACAATTCAGGCTGTTGAACAAACAGAGAGTTTAGACTTAGATGTCACTCAAGAAGGTTTAGAATCGAAGCCAAAGTCTTTGGCCGAGCTACAAGAAACTCAGAAACATCTAGTAGAAGCCTTTTTGGAGTTCAAACCTGAGGTCAAGGTTAAGCAACAAGACATCCAATTGCGTGTTGATACTGCCCAGGGCCTAATGACGATTGAACGCACAACTGTTCCATTTGAGGAAATCCCAGAACAACATGTGGCAACTGTTGAAATTGAAACAAGACCTGAAACACTTGTCCAACCATCTTTGGAATCATTTAGGGTTGAAGTTATTCAAGACAAAGTTTTGACAAAATCTGTTACTATTGATGAATTGTCAGAAGAGCAAAGGCATCTAGTTGAAGCTTTTATACAGGTGAGACCCACTGTCAAAATTGGAGAACAGACAGAGGCTCTGGAACTTGAGGAAACAAAAGAAGGATTTGAAATGAGAGCCAAATCTCCTGAAGAAATGCAAGAAGTTCAAAAACAACTTGTTGAATCATTCTTGGAACTTAAACCCGAGACACAAGTCCAACAGCAGGAGATTCAATTACATGTGGATACTGCCAAAGGACTTATGGTTATTGAACAAACAACTGTTCCATTTGAACAGATAACTCAACAGCTATCAACAGTTGATATTGAAACTAGACTTGAAACTCAGGTTCAACCTTCAACTGAAACATTCAGAGTTGAAGTTATTGAAGACAAGGTTGTCACAAAATCTTCCACTTTGGATGAATTGACTGAAGAGCAGAGACATCTGGTTGAAGCCTTCATTAAAGCTAGGCCTGCAGTACAGACAGAACAACAAGCTGAAGTTCTAGAACTTGAAGTCACTCAAGAAGGACTAGAAGCAAAACCAAAATCACTCGCTGATTTGCAAGAGGTTCAAAAACATCTAGTGGAAGCCTTCTTGGAATTCAAACCTGAAATTAAGGTTAAGCAACAAGACATTCAACTGCGAGTTGATACTGCTCAGGGTCTTATGGTTATTGAGCGTACAACTGTTCCATTTGAGGAAGTACCAGAACAACATGTGGCTACTGTTGAAATTGAAACAAGACCTGAAACACTTGTACAACCATCTTTGGAATCATTTAGGGTTGAAGTTATTCAAGACAAAGTTTTGACAAAATCTGTAACTATTGATGAATTGTCAGAAGAGCAAAGGCATCTAGTAGAAGCTTTTATACAGGTCAGACCAACAGTTAAAGTTGGAGAACAGACTGAGGCTATTGAGCTTGAGATAACAAAAGAAGGATTTGAAATGAGAGCCAAATCTCCTGAAGAAATGCAGGAAGTTCAGAAACAACTTGTTCAATCATTCTTGGAACTCAAACCAGAAGTACAAGTACAACAACAGGAAATTCAATTACATGTGGATACTGCCCAAGGACTTATGGTTATTGAGCAGACAACTATCCCATTTGAACAGATAACTCAACAGCTATCAACAGTTGATATTGAAACTAGACTCGAAACTCAAGTTCAACCTTCAACTGAAACATTCAGAGTTGAAGTTATTGAAGACAAGGTTGTCACAAAATCTTCCACTTTGGATGATTTGACTGAAGAGCAGAGACATCTAGTTGAAGCCTTCATTCAAGCTAGGCCTGCAGTACAGACAGAACAACAAGCTGAAGTTCTAGAACTTGAAGTCACGCAAGAAGGACTAGAAGCAAAACCAAAATCACTTGCTGAATTACAGGATGTGCAGAAGCATTTAGTAGAAGCCTTCTTAGAATTCAAACCTGAGATAAAGGTTAAACAACAAGATATTCAACTGCATGTTGATACAGCTCAAGGCCTAATGACAATTGAGCGCACAACTGTTCCATATGAGGAAGTTAAAGATCAACATGTCTCAACCATTGAAATTGAAACAAGACCTGAAACACTTGTACAACCATCTTTGGAATCTTTCAGAGTTGAGGTTATTCAAGACAAGGTTTTGACAAAATCTGTAACTATTGATGAATTATCAGAAGAGCAAAGGCATTTAGTTGAAGCTTTTATACAGGTCAGACCAACAGTTAAAGTTGGAGAACAGACTGAGGCTGTTGAACTCGAGATAACAAAAGAAGGATTTGAAATGAGAGCCAAATCTCCTGAAGAAATGCAAGAAGTTCAGAAACAACTTGTTCAATCATTCTTGGAACTCAAACCAGAAGTACAAGTACAACAACAGGAGATTCAATTACATGTGGATACAGCCAAGGGACTTATGCTCATTGAGCAGACAACTGTACCATTTGAACAAGTACCAGAATCTCAACTTTCAACTGTACAAATTGAGCAAATACCCGATATAGGAGAAGCACCAAAGTTTGTATCTGTTCTTGAAAACACAGTTGCAATTGAAGGAAAATCATTGCACCTTGAATGTAAAGTTGATGGCACTCCCAAACCTGATATAACATGGCTTGTTGATGATGAAAAGCTAGAAAACACTTCCATATACAAGATGGTATTTACTGAAGATTGTATGTGTGAGTTAACCATTCATGAGGTTTTCCCTGAAGATGAGGGAGAATATTCATGTAAAGCTGTGAATGAGTTTGGAGAAGCCATAACCTCTGCTGAAGTAACTATTCAGGCAGCTGATATGATAGAACCAACAGAGACTAGAATTGAGACAGAGATTCAACCTACAGTTGAAGTACTAAGGGTTGAGGTTATTGAAGATAAAGTTCTTACAAAGTCTATGACTATTGATGAACTAACAGAAGAGCAGAGGCACCTTGTTAAGGCATTTATTGAGGAAAGACCAACAATTCAGGCTGTTGAACAAACAGAGAGTTTAGACTTAGATGTCACTCAAGAAGGTTTAGAATCGAAGCCAAAGTCTTTGGCCGAGCTACAAGAAACTCAGAAACATCTAGTGGAAGCCTTTTTGGAGTTCAAACCTGAGGTGAAAGTTAAGCAACAAGACATCCAATTGCGTGTTGATACAGCTCAAGGCCTAATGACGATTGAACGCACAACTGTTCTATTTGAGGAAGTACCAGAACAACATGTGGCAACTGTTGAAATTGAAACAAGACCTGAAACACTTGTCCAACCATCTTTGGAATCATTTAGGGTTGAAGTTATTCAAGACAAAGTTTTGACAAAATCTGTAACTATTGATGAATTGCCAGAAGAACAAAGGCATTTAGTTGAAGCATTTATACAGATGAGACCTACTGTCAAAATTGGAGAACAAACAGAGGCTCTTGAACTTGAGGAAACAAAAGAAGGATTTGAAATGAGAGCCAAATCTCCTGAAGAAATTCAAGAAGTTCAAAAACAACTTGTTGAATCATTCTTGGAACTTAAACCTGAGACACAAGTCCAACAGCAGGAGATTCAATTACATGTGGATACTGCCAAAGGACTTATGGTTATTGAACAAACAACTGTTCCATTTGAACAGATAACTCAACAGCTATCAACAGTTGATATTGAAACTAGACTCGAAACTCAGGTTCAACCTTCAACTGAAACATTCAGAGTTGAAGTTATTGAAGACAAGGTTGTCACAAAATCTTCCACTTTGGATGAACTGACTGAAGAGCAGAGACATCTAGTTGAAGCCTTTATTCAAGTTAGGCCTACAGTACAGACAGAACAACAAGCTGAAGTTTTAGAATTAGAAGTCTCTCAAGAAGGACTTGAAGCAAAACCAAAATCACTTGCTGATTTGCAAGAGGTTCAAAAACATCTAGTGGAAGCCTTCTTGGAATTCAAACCTGAAATTAAGGTTAAACAACAAGACATTCAACTGCGAGTTGATACTGCTCAGGGTCTTATGGTTATTGAGCGTACCACTGTTCCATTTGAGGAAGTACCAGAACAACATGTGGCTACTGTTGAAATTGAAACAAGACCTGAAACACTTGTACAACCATCTTTGGAATCATTTAGGGTTGAAGTTATTCAAGACAAAGTTTTGACAAAATCTGTAACTATTGATGAATTGTCAGAAGAGCAAAGGCATCTAGTTGAAGCTTTTATACAGGTCAGACCAACAGTAAAAGTTGGAGAACAGACTGAGGCTGTTGAACTTGAGATAACAAAAGAAGGATTTGAGATGAGAGCCAAATCTCCTGAAGAAATGCAGGAAGTTCAGAAACAGCTTGTTCAATCATTCTTGGAACTCAAACCAGAAGTACAAGTACAACAACAGGAGATTCAATTACATGTGGATACTGCCCAGGGACTAATGGTTATTGAGCAGACAACTGTACCATTTGAACAGATAACTCAACAGCTATCAACAGTTGATATTGAAACCCGACTTGAAACTCAGGTTCAACCCTCAACTGAAACATTCAGAGTTGAAGTTATTGAAGACAAGGTTGTCACAAAATCTTCCACTTTGGATGAACTAACTGAAGAACAGCGACATCTGGTTGAGGCTTTTATTCAAGCTAGACCTACAATACAGACAGAACAACAAGCTGAAGTTTTAGAACTAGAAGTTACACAAGAAGGATTAGAACCAAAGGAAAAATCAATTGCTGATCTGCAGGAAGTGCAAAAACAACTTGTTGAAGCTTTCCTGGAATTCAAACCTGAAGTTAAAGTTAAGGAACAGGAAATCCAGTTACGTGTTGATAGTGCCAGTGGATTGATGACTATTGAACGAAACACTCTTCCATTTGAGGAAATGCCTGAGCAACAGATCTCTACAGTTGAGATTGAAGGTAGACCAGAATTGCAAATACAACCATTGCTAGAAGCATTTAGAGTTGAGGTCATACAAGATAAGGTAGTAACAAAATCAGTCACCTTAGATGAACTACCAGAAGAGCATCGACATCTTGTCGAGGCTTTTGTTCAAAGTAAACCAGCAATCCAAGTTGGCCAGCAGGCTGAGCTTGTTGAAGTTGAAGTCACAAAAGAAGGTATTGAGGCAAAGCCAAGTTCAGTAGTTGACTTACAAGAAGTTCAAAAACAATTGGTTGAAGCTTTCCTTGAGATAAAGCCTGAGGTTCAAACTAAACAGCAAGAAATTCAATTGCATGTTGATACTGCCCAAGGATTGATGACAATAGAGCAAACTATTCTTTCACCAGAGGAAATACAAAGGAGAGTGTCTACCGCTGAAATGGGAGATCAGCCTGAGGCAAGAGTTTCAACACAATCTGTTGAAATGCAAATTGATGTAACAGGTGGTGTTATTGTTAAGGAACCTGAATCAGCAGATGTAGGTGATATCACTCTTCAGATCGATACCGCATTATTAGAACAACCCCAGCCAGCTATGACTGGCATGCAATTGGAGACACTAACTACAGAAATAACTACAGATGTTACTTCAGAATCTTCAGTTCAGCCTGATTTACTAACTGAGGAACAGAAACATACAACTGAGTTTTCAATGCAGTTGGGCCCTGAAACAAGAATTCAGCAACAGGAAATGATTCTAAAATTAGACCTTACTGCTGATACATCACAGGAACAAACACTAACCATTGAAGCTGGTGACATAACAGCCAAAACAGACACTGTTGCTGTAGAACCAGTAACAGAAGCTAGAATTGGAGAACAAGATGTAACTCTAGAGCTCGACTTAACTGGAGACGTCACATCTGTCAAACAGGATGTTGTAGATACAGGAGAGGTATCTCCGGTAACTGTAGAAGCTGGTGCTGAATCTCTCATTGAGACCAGAATTGACACACAGAGGCAGGAGATTACTTTGGAAGTCACTGAAGAACAATCACCAACTGTTACTGAACAAAGCATTCAGTTGCCAGAGGATCAAAGAGATCTTGTGGAAGCTCTTCTTGAAATAAGACCAACAACAGCTATAGAAGAGCAGAAGAGTGAAGTCACTGTAGAAGAAATTCAAATAGACCTTAAAGACCGAGAAGAGGAGTTTGTTACATCTGATGCTATTGAAGTTCAAACAGATGCTGCAGCCCAAGCACCAAAGCCAGCAACTCTAGTGGGTATGCAGAAGGGAGGGGAACAGTTAGAGGAAATCTCATCAGAGATCACAGAGAAGTCTGAGGTGACAGTTTCACCAGAAACTACCCTCTTTGACGTGGAGTTGGCTGCCGAACTGCCCAAGCCAGAGACACTGGCTGAAGTGCAGCAGCAAGAACAGACAATTGGGGAGATTTCAGATGTAAGCACCCTTGATGAGGGTAGAGTCTCTCCTGATGAGATAACAACTGAATCAAGTGCAGCTACTATTGAACTTCCTAAACAGTCCCTAGTGGGACAACAACAAGATGTAATTAGCATAGAACAAACCTCTGAAGCAGGTATAATTTTGGATATTTCCCAAACAGAGTCCAGTGACATTATTGTGCAGTTGGATACAGCTTCTGCAGAGGCAAAGAAAGAGACACAATCTCAAATTCTGGATGTTACCCTCACAACAGAGGGAGCAGAGGAGCTTACTGTTCAACCAGAAACAGAGGTAGCAACCGCTGCCCTTGAAGCTCTTAAAGATCTGGCTGAAGCCACAACAGAGCAACAGGTTCCACAGACTAAACCAGTAGATATGTCACCAACTGGAGAAGCGATTTCTGAGTTGACTACTGTTGAGTCCACAACAATGATGGTTCAAGTAGAACCAGAGGAACCTCTACAGCAAACTGTCAGTGTATCATCCACTGAAGTGTTCACAGGTACAAACTGCTTCAATGATGCATCTCATATTATTAGATGCAATTAGACACTAAAATAAGCAAATTGTGGTTTGAGTAATATAAGTTAGTATTATGGTAAATATCTAAATTATTTATTTTGAGAGCATTATAGGAGGACACAAGCATGAGGCAACGAGGTTTTAACAAAGGCACACAATGCTCGCAGCAAATTAACATGCACTGTTGGATAAACACGTAAATGCATGATTATTACTTATACTACGTTAGGTTGAGCATGAAATAAACATTAATTAAAAAAAGGTTGGGCATAGTTCAAACTTGAAACTGCATGGTTTCTAAAATATAGTTTCATGTTCATTGTCAAAAGCAGCTTTGATAAACAGAAAAATTGACAGCGTCAATTTCAAACACCATATATAGGCATGTGTTGCTGGTACATACTTACTCAACAGATATACATCTATGGCATGACTTTATGCAACATCATCTTTAAAACTGGATTAACTAACTTATTAGTTGTTATATCATTGCCTGTTTTTATATTAAAGCATCATTATACTTATTATTATTTTGGCACTAGGATTTGATGAAGCATTGCACCGGAGCAGTTCGAATGATGGAATGTTAGAGTTAAACACGCAGGAATAGTAAACACAGTTTATCAGTTATACTTTAGCTTTAATTTAAAGGATTTATTAGTTCTCAACTAGACTCCCCATATACCCAGTTTACACCTAACACCTTTGTCCATGTTATATCTTACTCTCATTTCCCATACCTTCTTTACACCTAACCTACACATTGTCATGTCTTACTAACTTGTTCATGCTGCATTAGTTAACATATTCAACCTATATGCCTATGTGTACCTTGGGTACACTGTCCTCCATTCTCAATCTTTCTCCAAATTTCTTACTATCTGACAACCTCTTTCTCCTCTCTATACATGAAGCAATGTTCTTTATTTTAGGTGTTGATGTTGATTTTGCATGTCATATTCCAATGATAAATGTGTTCAATTGTTGTGTTGTAGGAAAAGATGCATCACCTGCTAGAGACCAGACAAGGTAAAACATCCTTTATCATGTAATCACCATCAACTTATAAAATTATTTATTTGTCAAATTATCAATTTCAATCAAACCACTAGTCTTACACAACTAAAGACCAAATGCACATGGCAGAATAAATAGTATACAACTCATTATCCTTTAATTGTCAACATATGTGTCAGATTTTAAAGATTGAGAAACTTGGTGTCTAATATTTTATCTCATTGGTTCAGATGATAAAGTGAGACACATGTGTTTTCATTGCAGTGAGATGGAAATCATGTTAACAAAGGAACAGGTTGCAGAATCTACTGAGATCTCCCTGACTCTTACAAAACCAGAGGACATAACCTTTACCACAGAATCGACAGAACAAGAATTTGTTATTGAGAGTAGAGGTAAGGAAAAGATCTACCATCTTACAAATTTTCCTTATACTTCAGAACAATTTGCTATTTACACTTCATAGCTTGTTGAAGTTGTCACAGTTTTTGCTTGTATTATTTCAGCGAGAGTTTTCAAACTTCACTTCCATTGCATGGTGTTTAGTAGTTTGACCCTTGTCTTCAGTTGCATGCACCCTAAATTCTGTATTATCATTCTGATTCAGTGTATGGTCTCTTTCAAAACCAGATTTGGCGGACTAAAAATGTGAATGTTTTGGTTCAAAGCATATTATGATTGAAAAATAGAATTTTTAAGACCCTTATCACTGAATCAGTGCAAGTATACTATCTTGAATATATCTTTGGACATGTCCATTTTATGAAACAAGGCCATTTTCATTTTCTTGAGAAATGTTATTGGTACAAAGTCCTGTAAAAATGAATATTTAAGGTTATAGATTATTTAGATATAAATATCATTTTACAGTACTTTTTCACTCGGTAACAATACAGTCCAGTTTCTGACTGAAATCACATCTTTGAGTACCATAGTTGCAACCTTATTATTGTAAGCATGTGCATGCCTCTAGTTGCTATATCCGCTCCATCTTACAGTGACGGATCAGCTGAATGGCATGTCTATAACTGAGAATGGGGAGAGCCATAGTAGTAGTACATTCTCAACAACATCCTCAACCACTACCAGCACTACAAGTTCAACAAGTGTGGATGACTCGGAAGACTCGGACGCTAGCACAGTAGTTGAAGAACCTCTGAGTAAACGTAAAACAACTGAAACAACAATATCAACCACAACTAAGACGATGTCAACAACCTCTGAAAAAAGTGAAACTAAAATGGTTATTGAGAATAACAATGCATCGGCACCTGTGTTTACTAAATATCTTGAACCTCTGATAATCAAAGATGGCGACCAAGCCAAGTTTGAATGTGTTGTTGAAGGAGACCCAAGACCTAGTATAGTTTGGTTTAGAGAAGAGGATGCAGTGCAACCATCAGCAGATTTTGTCATGGAGTATACTGAGAATAATGTATGTACACTTGAGATCAAGGAGGTATTCCCAGAGGATGCAGGTACTTATATTGCAATGGCTGAAAATGATGCAGGAACAACCTCATGCTCAGCATCCCTTGTTGTGGAAGGTATGTCATTAATATGCATAGCTTGCTTTTGTGTGTATTCAATCTACTTTTGAATTTTGGGTTTTTGCTCAAGCTTATTTTTCTTAGAATTGTTTGGAATGTGACTTGAACTCAAAATGCATGAATCTTTCTTATTTCTTGTCTAAAACTTAATTTGGCCATGTTGTTAATCATGACTAAAAGCTGAAGAAATTGCTATCAGATTATATTTGCATGGAAGGGTTCTCCATTTCCCTGTTATGTCAATCTCTTTGAAACCACTAAATACTGAAACCTGTTTGTACAATATACATACGAGTACAAGATATACATGCAGCAACATTTTTTTATAATTAATCTACTTTAAATAAATTATCCTTGAGGTTTGGAAAATAATATTGATAATCACAAATATAATTTTGACAAATGTGCAATGTTTCTATTTAAGGATAATCTACACATTTTATTAATAAGTTCTTGAATGTTTTCATTATAGAAGAAGAAGAGGTCGTTGGCCCATCATTTGTGAAAACACCAAAGTACAAGACTGCTGAAGAAGGCGAGACTGTTGTATTTGAGTGTACATTTGTGGCACAACCAGAACCAGAGGTAATATAGATTTATTACATAGCCATTCATAACATACAAATGTTTAATGAAGGGTGATGTTTGTAAGCAACATGTCAACACTGAGAATACATTCATGTATTATTAAAGTGACGTTTCTAAGTCTGCACCTTAATATGTGATGCTACTAGGTACGTGTAGTTTGTAGGTCTAATCATATCCAAATCTTATTTTACATGGTCTAATAGGACTATAACTCTCATGACCTTATATACAAAATATTATTACCATTTTCACATTTGACCTAAATGACATATGTACAACTTTGAGGTAGTGCTACTGTGGCTTTATGCTACTAAGGCAACATATAAGCTACAATAACAGTACATACATATATGATGCTTTGATTGCAGATTTCCTGGTATGTGAATGATACTGAGATAAAGAGTGATGACCACTTTGAGATCTCTGTAGAGCGTGAGGAAGAGAATACATACACTGTCACACTCACCATCAATGGTGTTAAGGTGGAAGATGCCGGAAACTACAAGATTGTTGTGAGAAATGATGGCGGAGATGCAAGCGTCTCAGTCTCTCTCATTGTCAACAGTAAGCTTCTTTTTATAGTTAGTTGGGGCTATTTTATCCAGCTTATTTGCATCATGAAGAATTGATGAATAGAAAATTATCACCAGTAGTATTTATTCTTTTTATTTTTTTTTATTTATCAATATGAGTTCTAAATATGTTCATGCTATGGAAGTGTACTGTAGATGACTGTAGAATATCACAACAGTACAATACACCATAATTTATTCCACAATTATTTGATGTGTATTCTCATTTCAATTTCAGAAACCATTAAAGAAATCACTGATTTCACTTCACAGTTGAAGACTGAAGTGTAAGTATTCATTTTAAATTGAATCTCTGTCTAACATTGTATTTCCAACCCCATTTACTGAGAATGTAATCCAACATTCCTTAGTTTAATTCATTTATTATGATAATATATTTATTTTCCAACACTGTATAGAGTGTGTTTACCTGCAGTACTGTATAACATTGGTACTATCTAAGAAATAATTGCCTTTTACCAAACAACTAAGGCCATGCCCCTATAAAACCAGATTTAATAAAAAAGTAGTGTAACTCAATGTACAGAGATAACAACATGCCTTTGTATATTGTCTTTAAGTACAGAATGTTCGTTACCCCTAAACACACTTATAACTACCCCCTCCATTGTGTGCTAGTGCTAACTAATATATGCATGTGCATGGTATGTTTAGGAAAACCAAAGTTGGTGTTCAATATGATGTTAAACAGCATGATTTTACATCTCAACTAAAAACACCCAGGTAAGTATTTGAGCATTTAAACATCACTTCTGTTAAACTGGTAATTTTAGCTCGTGAGCTCAAACACATATGAGCTCTTAAAAATGATTTGCCATATCAGCCTGTAATTGAGCTCTAAAACAATGTTTAGGTCAAGCACTCTTTGGGAGTTCGCTGTGAATACATCATGAATGATTGAACAAAACTAAGCATGCTGAATGTATATTTTATATTTAGTAACACCTGCGCCTGCTAATATACAAATTAGATAAGTTATAACATTTCAGTGATATTAACAGAATGTTTGTTTTCCGCATTTTTTATTGTATAAATTATGTCATTAATAGTCTACACCTTTGTCAATGTTATGTCTTAAAGTCCCAGGAAAGGTTAGATAATGTATATGCTGATAATTTTGGCTTTTGGAATGAGGAATTCCAGCGTATCGGGGAAAGCGAAACTCAACTTATGGGCAGGGCATATCAAAATTCAACTTAATTTTTCCACAATTGCCAACATTTTGACCTTTCAGAGATACACTTACTCTTTAGATTTATACAATGAGAAATGTGTAGAATTATTTCACAACTTTGTCCCCCTCCCTTCCCCCATTGTTAGCTAACTGCATGTGAATGATGTGTTTAGGAAAACTAAGGTTGGTGTTCAGTATGATGTGGAGCAGAAGGATTTTAGATCCACGCTAAAACCATCCCCATTAAAGTCTAGGTAAGAATATCAGGGGTTTTGGTGTTGAAATGATAATATTGACCATATTGTTTTGACATGGTACATGTATTTCTTTGATAGCTGCTTGTGGTTGTTTTAGATAGTGCTTCATATTTCATGTATGCATGTGCCTGCATGAATCAAATTATATATAATTGTGAGAATCAGAAGTACTCATAGCTGTATATGAGAAAAGTTTATCATTCTTATTGAAATCACAAATGACAATTATTTTACAGTAAATACGAAACAGACACAAAACCAGAAGAAGAGCCAAGGTTTGTGGTCCAAATAAGTGATGTCCACGTGAAAGAGGGTGAGGCAGCAAGATTTGACTGCACTGTTGAAGGAACACCTGAACCCTCTGTGACTTTCTATTTCCTTGGTGCCCCAGTAGATGCCGATGGTGACATATACCAGGTGGAACAAGGCCCAGATGGCACACACTCTCTCATCCTACCAGAGTGCTTCCCAGAAGATGCTGGAGAGTATACTGTCAAAGCAGTCAACTCTGTAGGCTTCCAGGAAGTCTCTGCTATGCTTACTGTGGAAGGTAAGTAACATCTAACTCTTGACAGTTTATAAGATCTCATTAATTAGAGTCTAAGGATAAGAGCGCTCATCTAAAATGCATGTTTCTGAAAAATTAGCCACAAAACAAGTCCTTATCCAATGAAGGATAATATCATTGAGCTTTTTACGTTTGAAGTGCATAAATTGAATAGTTTCAGGTTAAATAGAAAAATGTATAATAGCTAACACAGCAAGTCTCATCACAGTAATAGTTCTATTTCCCAGCATTTTAAGCTATTATTTTCGATACAAGGATTGTTAGCCTTGATAAAATGGGAAACCAGTTCTACTGGTATTATTAAAGTTTATGATATGATACATGATGTTGTTTATAGAATATTTCTCAGACACAAGTACCATTAGCTCCAAGAAGGAGGAAGAAGCTCCCATTGAACCAGAGCTCCCTGTACAAGATGCTGCAGCCACTAAGATTCAGGCAGCATTTAGAGGCATGCAGGTACGGTACCTCCATTGCATTTATTTCCAAACTTTATTACTTGACATTATCTACTTGAATACATGATTGAATTTGATAATATTTTCTGAAAATTTATTATATGTTAAATATTTTATCCATCATTATACAGGCTAGAAAGGAGGTAGAAATCATCAAACATGAGAAACAAGAAATCACAATTACCACCACTGAGACATTAGAAGTTGCTCCCCAAGAGGTAACTGAGGTGACTACAGAGGAGATCACACTAGCCCCCGATGCTCCTGAATCTGTGGAGGTCACTATGGAGGTAGTTGAACCCAAAGAGTCTGTAGTTGATGTAGAACAACCAACTTTCAAGACAGAGAGTGAGCAGGTTACAACAATTACCGAGTCTATTACAATGCAAGTTGGTGAGACACCAACTGGAGAGGAGATGACCTTTGAAGTGATTGGAGCTCCAGAAGGTATCACACTTGATGTATCTGAAAAACCAACCTTCACAACTACAACTGAAAAGGTTACTGTAACTACTGAACAGATTGGTGAAGCCCCACAAGCCCCAGAGGGTCAGGAAATGACCTTTGAAATAACTGGTCAGCCAGAGTCTCAACAAATAGAGATTCTTGGACAGCCAACTTTCACAACTACCACAGAGAAAGTCACAGTCACCACTGAAGAAATCGCTGAAGCTCCACAAGCTCCAGAGGGTCAAGAAATGACCTTTGAAATAACTGGTCAGCCAGAGTCTCAACAAATAGAGATCCTAGGACAGCCAACTTTCACGACTACCACAGAGAAAGTCACAGTCACAACTGAAGAAATCGCTGAAGCTCCACAAGCTCCAGAGGGTCAAGAAATGACCTTTGAAATAACTGGTCAGCCAGAGTCTCAACAAATTGAAATTCTTGGACAGCCAACTTTCACGACTACCACAGAGAAAGTCACAGTCACAACTGAAGAAATCGCTGAAGCTCCACAAGCTCCAGAGGGTCAAGAAATGACCTTTGAAATAACTGGTCAACCAGAGTCTCAACAAATAGAGATTCTCGGACAGCCAACCTTCACCACTACCACTGAGAAAGTCACTGTCACCACTGAAGAAATTGGTGAGGCCCCACAAGCTCCAGAGGGTCAGGAAATGACCTTTGAAATAACTGGTCAACCAGAGTCACAACAAATTGAGATTCTTGGCCAACCAACCTTTACCACTACCACTGAGAAAGTCACAGTCACCACTGAAGAAATTGGTGAGGCTCCTCAAGCTCCAGAGGGTCAAGAAATGACCTTTGAAATAACTGGTCAGCCAGAGTCACAACAAATTGAGATTCTTGGACAGCCAACTTTCACCACTACCACTGAAAAAGTCACAGTCACAACTGAAGAAATCGCTGAGGCTCCACAAGCTCCAGAGGGCCAAGAAATGACCTTTGAAATAGCTGATCAGCCAGAGTCACAACAAATTGAGATTCTTGGACAGCCAACTTTCACCACTACCACTGAAAAAGTCACAGTCACAACTGAAGAAATCAGTGAGGCTCCACAAGCTCCAGAGGGCCAAGAAATGACATTTGAAATAACTGGTCAGCCAGAGTCACAACAAATTGAGATTCTTGGCCAACCAACCTTTACCACTACCACTGAGAAAGTCACAGTCACCACTGAAGAAATTGGTGAGGCTCCACAAGCTCCAGAGGGCCAAGAAATGACATTTGAAATAACTGGTCAGCCAGAGTCACAACAAATTGAGATTCTTGGCCAACCAACCTTTACCACTACCACTGAGAAAGTCACAGTCACCACTGAAGAAATTGGTGAGGCTCCTCAAGCTCCAGAGGGTCAAGAAATGACCTTTGAAATAACTAGTCAGCCAGAGTCACAACAAATTGAGATTCTTGGACAGCCAACTTTCACCACTACCACTGAGAAAGTCACAGTCACCACTGAAGAAATTGGTGAGGCTCCTCAAGCTCCAGAGGGTCAGGAAATGACCTTTGAAATAACTGGTCAGCCAGAGTCGCAACAGATTGAGATTCTTGGACAGCCAACCTTCACCACTACCACTGAGAAAGTCACAGTCACAACTGAAGAAATCAGTGAGGCTCCTCAAGCTCCAGAGGGTCAGGAAATGACCTTTGAAATAACTGGGCAGCCAGAGTCTCAACAAATCGAGATTCTTGGACAACCAACCTTTACAACTTCCACTGAGAAAGTTACAACAGTAACTGAGACAATCTCTGAAGTATCCAAGGAACCATCTCCAGAGGCAGTGACTATGGAGTTTGTTCAAACTACAGAGGAAACAGTTGATGTAACTGAGACTCCAGAAGTGGCCACTGCTCCTGAAGATGTCATTGATGTTGGCTTCACACTACAACAGAAAGTTGAGGAAGATGTAGATGTTGGTATAACACTTCAACAGACGCAAGTGGAAGAAGATGTTAATGTTGGATTTACTCTACAGCAACCACAAAATGTTGAAGAAGATATTGATCTTGGTTTCACAGTACAGAAGACAGAGGTAGAGGAAGAAGATATCGATGTTGGATTTACACTTCAGAAGCCAGAGAAAGTGGAAGAGGAGGTTGATGTTGGATTCACACTTCAGCAGACACAAAAAGTGGAAGAAGATGTTGATGTTGGAATTACACTTGATCAAACACAGAAAGTGGAAGAAGACATTGATTTTGGCTTCACAGTAGCAAAGACAGAAAAAGTGGAAGAGGATGTTGATGTTGGATTTACACTTCAGAAGACAGAGAAAGTGGAAGAAGACTTCACATTTACACAGGTAATTTGA